TTTTGAAAAAAAAATCCCAACGGCTCTAACTTTGACGTGTTAGAAAACATCACTACCTACAACAACCCAATGTAACGTGAACTGGATTTTGCATCGACCATTCTCAGAAATTTGAATCGAACCAACAACCATCGGATTTAAAACTAATCCGCAATTCATTCATTGGCCTTAATTTCACGGGATTAAGGAGAATAAACTAATCCCTGTTCTTGCATAATATGAAGTGAAGTATCTTTGTAATTTATCCATAGGTTTTGTATAAATTAACCCATTGTTTCCTTCAATACCCAGTACCATTGACATGTTTCTTCACAACACAGACCCCATGAGTTCCCCATGGCTCCCATACTCCATGGAGTCACGGTGTAGCAGGTGTTACTCCAGTCATGGTCGAACGCGTGGCGAGAATGCCTCCATTTCCTTCTGACCCGTGGATACCCTGCGATGGTTACCCGGAGGAACCACGCTCCGGTAGACAGCCGACATAGGGGCTTCGCCCCACCTGCGAGGGAGAGGGGATCATTATATCATTAGTGAACAGTAAAAACTACAAGATACAACGTGCCAATTACACCGTGTAACGAGTGGTAGCTTCTCAACAAAGGAGTTCTTAGTTAGGAGACTGATGGGAAATCAATTATGTTTGATGTTGTAGGATGTAGTCGATAAATCATTCCTTCCCGGTAAACTGTTCAATAGATTCTAGTAAAATAGTGTTGGAGTTACCAGTCCGGAATAAAATTTAGGTAACGCCACGGACGCAGTGCTTTTAGTCGTGGGGTCTTGTTTCTGCCGCGGATCCTGTTACATTTCTTCAACATTAACTTGTTAGGTAATTTATTTGTACCCTTTAAACCAATAAGACTACCACTTCGAATAGCCGAATTTGGGTGGATGTTGTGCTCGCCTCAAATCTGAAATTTGCTCGTTCGATTCCGAGTGGGATAACTTACATTCTGGACGTAGATGATTTTTAGCTAACAATTAATTATACTACTTTCTCACTGACGGTCGGCGTTCAATGAATATGTGGCAACAAGAGGGTTTGGGCCGTTTTATAAAAAAAAACCTAAATAATGCCATTAGCGTATAAAACACTCAAAATAAAAAAAAAATAAATGCTGCAAACCCTTTTGCAATAAATATATTAGGGAAGAAACTCTGTTCCTATAGTGGTCTCCTGCAGTATATACATTAGCATTCTAACCGTTACAGAGATATCCGTTCGATTGGGTTGCATTCTGTGTATAATCGATTTAGGCGATAACAATTATTATTATATGCTTTTGAAAATAAAAATATATTTGTTTTTGGCAATAATTAATTGTTTTCAAGCTATCATACCAAAGTTTTTCTATCCCAGAGTTTTATTCTTCGTTGTGTTGCTAGTACATTATAACATTGACTATATAACCACAACCAACCAACCATCGAAGTATCACATTCTCTTCTGCAATAAGCGCTCTTAAGTTCAGCGTTTAACGATGGTTTTATGGGACTCACCACTAAACACTGATGATTATCTACAATATTCATTGTGCTTAAAACATAATGGAGTCTATAATGGGATATATAAGGCTTATAGACGTGGATTTCGTCCATAAACTGTGAACACACATTATGAGATAAACAGTAACAATGGAATCAAAACACTGCCAAACAATTGACAGTTGTTGTCCATTAGTAATATTTTAACTACGAAAGGATGTAATTAACCTTGGACGAGGGAACGGAGCGGAACTGATCCAGGAACTACGGACTTGGACCGGCGAACAGCGGAACTCCGCGGCCATTCGTGCGGATTACGGACTGGAATAACCATACAAAACACATAATGTATGATAAATTTGATTAGTTTATTTACTTACTATACTTTTTTGAACGCGATTGATAAGAGGAGGAAATGCAGATCGCGTCCAGTGTCAGTAACAAAATTAAGACTTGTAAAATTTCAGTACCGGTAAATTATCATCGGACAGGACACTATATCTATAAGTTAAAAGGGCTTGACCACTGACCAGACATAGCACTTGTAAATGCTACTTGTATTGCATTGCTTTGTAGTTTTGTGTTAACAAAACTGTATTTTAACTTCCACTTTCACCAGATAAGGATACTTAAAATGCGGTTATGGGATTTCTGTTCTCAGTTCGTGGACAAGATAACAAACACATCGTAAAATCTTGGAAACTGCAAAAACCAGTCTTTGCAGTTGACCTGCCAACTATAATACCTAATACCTGCCATTCACAAAGATGGCACTTTTAATTAAATTGTTTTAATATAAAGGTACAGTTTTGTAATTTAGAGTAAGCCTATTATTGCGGACATTTTTCAATTACAATGGTTAACAACAAGTTTGCACGACGTTTCGGGATCTGGATTTTTGATATCGTTCTCATGTGAGAAATTATGTTAAAACACAAAATTATTTGTGCTCAAACCCAGTCAAAGTAATAAAATCACAATAGGAAAACTACGCAGTTAATCTGTATAGATAGAGGACAAAACAAGAAATACTGTAATCTTCCTTAGGTAAAATCACAGAGTTCTCTCTTGGGGACGTGATTTCAGAACGCAGACCTTCGTGAAAAATAGAAAATAACATAACCGTAGCATAGCAAAAAATTACATCAAACATTGGATCTATTTTTTAACACTACAGTTAAGTTTGAGATTGATCTAGCCCTACGGCTTCTTTTTCTTCGTGTCTATAGTGATCTCAATCTCAAGATCGGCACAAAGGTAAGATGCACGAACGACACAACCAAATTGAGACCAATACCAGTCGTGCACAGGTTAGGCAACCTAGTGACGTCACGTATTGCCCAACTCCAACTCCAACTCCAACCGCCCCGCTTCGCCCCTCGGCGGATTTGAATTTGCACATCAACAGCGCATGTCACTCCGACAAAAGAGTTCTTTATGGACGTCATTAATATGTCTTACAGGGGCTTCCGACTGACGCAATGAAAAGGGTCGAAACCGGCGTGAATAAAATGTTTTGGCTAACGATGGGTAAACGGGACTCTCGCCATAGTCGGATTACAGGACTTTTGTAGACGTGTAAAACCAGTCTTCGCAGTGGATTTTCTCCGCGAAATACGTTGTTATTGTTGACATCCAAGAATCAAAGCCCAACGGTACCTGATCGTGATAATGGTTAGTGGCGTCCGCTGTGAAATTACCCGTATTGTGTCCTGATAACCTTTGTCAGGGATTTTCACGTTTCCTGCAAGTCACTCTGGAAATCGCCAGCTTTTTATCAACAGTTTTGTACTTGTTGAACTTGAAACTTAATGATGTATGTAGTGAGGAATGTATATGATTTGTGTCACGGAATTGCAGGATTATTGTTCTTTTGTGATATTAAAGCAGAGAAAAGGAGTTTAGAAAACTGATCAGAATACTTGAAAATTAGTTTTTGGAGATTTTAAGTACTCACTTGAATTGACTGTAAAATATGTGTTAAATAATTGTTTTAGTTCAAGAAAGCTATATAGAGTCTAGACTCAAACTAAGGTAGTTTCGTTAATTGAAATCAAAGATAACACCATTGTTCTCTTGGTAACACCACCCCATTAATTAACTCAATCATTGTGAGGATTGCATTTGAAATTAGTGTAAGATTCATTTACAGGTGGGGAGGAAGGCCAAAGAATACCAGATAGATAAATTTAAAAATTGTAAGGGCATTAATTATTAAAAAACCCAGTCAGTTTCGCTAATCGCTAATGACTTAATTTCGTGATGCTTCTATCTGAGGGATAAACTTATTTCTGAACAACCTTTACATTAGAGTCTCCTCTTCTTTTGAGTTTTGAAAAGACATAAAATTTCATATTTCCAGTCAAAATACATGGGTTTAGTCAAATTGTTTCAGGACAAGTATATAACTTAATGGAGTTTATGTATTTTATACACCTAGTATGTAAATGTGCACGTGTGTATGCTTGTGTACGAGTCGGAGTCTCATTCTCACGAGTATGAAGTGTGACGAGGCACGTACTGAGGCTAGTTAGCATCTCAATATCATGTAAATTCAACAGCTGCCATCAGCTACTGCGCCTTTGTATCTCGTAATACAGATGTCACTCTAACAACTTAATGCCGGAGGGGAAGGTAGAGATATGATTTTACAACAAATCAGGGGGTGTTTTAGGTGAAGATGGGTGTTAAATGGATGATATGAAAGTGTTGCTGACTAAGATCAGCTGATTTTTAGTCAGGATTTTCTATTAAACCCAATGATCAAGGACAGCTGGGTCCAGTTTTGAACCTTAAAATGGGTTAGACTTTCTCGGGATATAACCAGCAACCAACTAATTCCTAGGCGAGAACTGTATCTACTCGGCTGCTCAGTTATACGTAACCTACCTTGGTTGCAGGGTTGTCTAGGACATATTGTACCCAGAAGATATGGATTGCTACAAAGTGTAGCATTTTAAAACTTGGATACAGTTTGTGTCCTCAGTTCCGTTTTTTAAAGTGGGTTTTATGATAACACAAATTAATTTCTCTAAATTTCTGCTGGATTCAAATTTGATTAATTTGCTATTGCTGTCAATAGGTTTCACAATAAGTACTAAAATGTCTGCTAAAATTAACACACTGTCTCAGGAAGGAAGTAAGATAAGTGTGTGTCGCTGCTCATTGTACCACATCTCACTTCTATTGTGACTTATGACATAAATTAAATTCACTGTCAGCACAAACTGCTTTTTTGTTTTCTTACTCCTCTCTTAGAGTGGTTGTAGTGCTTGTTAATTGAATTGAAATGTCTAGTAATAAAAACGTCACTGGCTCAATCGTGACCAAAGTCAGTCGCTTTTTAATGGTTCAAAACTGGACCCAGCTGTAGTTGGCAACTACAACTGTTGGTCACTTGGCTTCTGTTAATAGACAAATACAATATTTGATATTTCCTTAACCTCTTTGAGATCTATCACCGAGTTGTTGTTCTGACTGTAGTTTTTCATGTGCAATGTCTCTTGTTGCAGGAACACCTGAACTTTGTCGGGTCTGATGAGAACCTCGGGCCGTTGCTGTTGTCCGTCAAAAATGAGACGATCGCGTCCCAGGAACACACGAGGCTGCTGCTCAGGCTACAGAGTGGGACTATGCATGAACTCATGCCGTCCTCAGTGGCCACCACGGCTCCTCATAACATGGTCAAGGTGGGAATGTACCTTAAGTGATACTGGGTATAGGGTGATCTATCAAACGTTTGACATTCAAGATTACGTATGAGAGCCACATTAGTATATGGGCACAAGCCCAAGGGCGCAATAGGTTAAGCTAAAAGGTTTGTTGGGGACACAAGGAAGACAAAAATCCCCCAGCATTTTAGAGTAAAGAGGGTGAAATTTAATTATCTTACCAGACTTCACATCACATGCAAACAGCTGGCCTTTTTGGTGTGAATCAGGTTGTTATTTGTTTGTACAGTACAGTCCTACAATGTGAATCATAGGGAGGCTATGAGATAAACTGTGTTATCAGGAAAAAGGCTGAAAATTAAATTGAAAAATAAAAATGGTACATTTTCCTTTTGATCCGCATACATAGATACTACATAATACATTATATTATTAATTAACAGACTAAACAACAGAACAATTTGCCTAGTCAACCGTCATGTCCCTGACAATGCCACATTAACGGCAAAACATGTAGGTCAACTGATTTCTACAAGTTGGATTTCATGATGACGTAAATTGTACAATCTAGTCATGATATAGTAAACCCGGGGTCCTCAATATGGAATTTAACATTGATAAGACTAAATTATTAAACATCAGTATTTTTTATGTGGTCTTATTGTAGCTTTTCAATGAACAAATGAGAATCTTAAATCTAAATTTATACCAAAGCTTTAAAATATATAAATTAAACTTGAAGGAAAACACATGACCTACTTTTCCATAAAATTTAAGTTATGATGTTGACTAACATACTGACTGGAGCGCTCCGGTTGTAAGTGGGGGAGGCATGACTCCTGAATTTGGCCTTAGTATCCACAAGTATATTACTAAAGGTCCAAAGGGGTAACAAAAGAATTCGCTTCACAAGAAACGTAATAAAAATCTAGGACTAAACACCAAAGTTAGAATATTTTTTGTCACTGATTGCATTTTCAACAGAGGGAAGGTTTGAGTAGGGAGGAGAGACAGAGACGAAAAAAAATCCTTAAAACCGAAGCCATCAATTGTCCTCTATTTTACATCATTAACCTTAAATTGGAGATAACAATATACATATTTACTTTGTGTCACCTTATAAAGTAGTTCTTGTTAAGATAGTTATGCCAGGCTAGGAATAATAGTTAAACAAATGTTCCATACACCATATTAAACAGTTGCTCTCTAGTTGGTTGAAGAATTTTGTTTGTCAGCCTAATGTTTGTTGAGCTCCCAGCTCCCCGTTGGTTCAGGTGCAAGTCAGGTGAAGCCATCTTTGTAAATTGTACATGATGTAACCTCGTCTCTTTGTATACGGTGACTGAAACTAGAAAACACACTTGCTTGAACAACCTTGTTTGAAATCAATAATTTAGCTACCGGTATTGAAAATGTTATATTCTAAAATGCCTGATTTTTTGTCCCACTCTCTTTGATTACTTAAGTTTTAGGTATTTAATGTGCAGTATAAATTACACTGTCAGTATAATAGTAGTGGATACTGGGGGTTAACCATTTTTAATTGAGACCAGTGGATCTAAGTTATCTGGGCTTATGAAAGTCTCAAATAAATTAAACAAACTTTGTACGAAGATATTATTCTAGGACTGTTTTGTATATCTCTTTTGTAGCAAAACATGTTGAAAGAAAAAACAACTTGAATAGTGTATTTTTAAAACATTCTAGAACTAAGCACTGTAAAATATTAGAACAATGGCACATTCCTAACATAGCTGTATGACCTTATTGTAAACTAATGTAAATGGCTGTCGGAAAAAAAGGCAACACTATAGGAAATGTTCAAACCAAATAATTAATTTACAGATTAAAATGTCCAAGGATTGTGTTTGAGCATTATGTAAATTAAAGGTGGTTTCTACAAGGGAAAATTGGGGGTTTCCAAGAAAGTACTTGGAATTGTATCATCACCTTAATGTATATTTTCCTAACCTACCCACTCTATGTTGACAGCTGTTGAACGAGCAACTGACAGTCTCAAGCCTGCAGCCCATTTTGTGTCCCCGAGCCTCCGAGCTCATCGCAGACTACGACGAACATGTTCTCGTGTCCAACTTCAAGTTTGGAGTCCTTTACCAACGCTTCGGCCAGACCAGTGAAGAGCAGCTCTTCTCAAATAAACACGCAAGTCCTGCGTTCGAGGAGTTTCTTAATCTCCTAGGACAGAGGATACAGCTCAAAGATCACAAAGGGTGAGTTGTGTAGTGGGTCTTGTTTGTAAATTTGAAACTTACTCGTACAGTTAAAAAATCAAAATGTTGCTTCAATCCAGTTTGTAAACAAACCAAGTTACTTAACCTTAAGCTTTAGCTTTAAAATCAATAAGCTTCTCCATTAAATGTTTTCAAATCAATACCTACTGTCTTTTCTGTATTTATCTATTGTACCTTTATCTTTGTCTATATTTGTTTTTACGTGTAAAAAACTATTTATCCTCCTTCAATGCAACTCAACATGTACAGTTATTCCTTTTTTGTTTGTCTTTAGATTTCTCAGCTTTACCAAGCAGAATAATTAAGAAAGACTTTGCAACATTTCCACCTTTTCTAGATTCTTCTTTCAACTTTTCAATTGCTGCAGAAAGACTTACTGCAGTATGTTGATCTTAAGTACCTAGTTAGTAAGTAGAAGTACTTTTCGTTACTTTTAGGGCTCCATCTTCTGTCTGTAATTAATTAGTCTTACAATCTTCTTGATACTTCTAGTTACCGTGGAGGCTTAGACACACAGTATGGCCAGACGGGAGATGAAGCCATCTACCAAAACTTCAAAGGCAGGCAGATCATCTTCCATGTGTCCACCATGTTGCCGTACACAGACAATGACCCCCAGCAGTTGCAAAGGAAAAGGCATATTGGTAAGTAATTTCGGTATAGACTCTACATCCATCTGGTCGTGACGCTTCACCCCTAAAGTTACCATTTTTACCCTAGTTTATTCGTCCCCCACTCGTTGTAAATGTACCCTTTTTTTGTAACTATGTTCGGGTATTTTTGTATGTAAATATGTGTATCGACGACCTTCTGATGAAGTGATTTCGACATCCCCTGGACGCCTGAAGATGACTTCTTTGTGAAGTCGAAACTAGTAGCGTGCCTTTGCAAAAATTTGGATTACATAGAAGCAGGTTTTTACACCAAATTATACATTCATCTTAATCCAGAGGCTATAACATCAAAAATGAAATAATGAACTTTAGTGATAAACAGGGCCGTATTTAGAATCTATGAGGCCCCCGGCGGCTCTCACCAGAGAGGCCCCACTCTATATTCTGACTCTTCAAAGGTTGGAGCTTAAGGGTTTAGAAATACACATGGTATTGCTTCAAGTCGATCAATTGACCTTTTGTTTCCAACAATCTGATTGAAAGAGTCCTAGGAGACTAGCTAATAAAAGGGTCCATTGATTTCTTGCATTAACGCTGACATGTCATCTCAGTCCCTTCCGATCACGTCGGAATCATGAACGTCTCGACATGTGGCCGCGGGGAAATGGTGAAAATCTTGCGTGAGCGCTGAGACGTTATCTCTGTCTCCTCTGATCGCGGCGGATTCATGAACGACTCATGTGGTCTCAGAGAAATGGTGAACATCTTGCGCGGCTGTGTAGACATCATCATCGTCTCCCGCGGTCACGAAACGTGATCGTCGTCTTGTGCGATAGCGGCAAAATCATGAACATCTCCCGCAGCCTTGTAGACACAATCATCGTCTCCCGCGTTCTCGAAAACGTGATCGTCGTCTTTTGTGATCGCAGCAAAATCATGAAAATCTCCCTCAGCCATCTAGACATCATCATCGTCCCCTGTGGTCACAAAAACGTGATCATCGTCTTTCACAATGGGGGCAAAATAATGAACGTCTCCCGCGGCCGTGTAAACGTCATTAACGTCTCCCGCGGTTCCAAAAACGTGATCGTCGTCTTGCGTGATAGCAGCAAAATCAAGTTCATTTCCCGTGGCCATGTGGACATCACCATTGTCTCCCGCGGTCACAAAAACGTGATCATCGTCTTTCGCGGTAGCGGCAAAATCATGAACATCTCCCGCGGTTTCGAAAACGTGATCGTCGTCTTGCGTGATAGCGGCAAAATCAAGTTCATTTCCCGTGGCCGTGTAAACGCCATCATCGTCTCCCGCGGTCGGGATACAATCTTGGACTTCTTCCGCGATGACGGGCGAATAGAGACAACTCCTACGCTAACGGGGAAATAGCGAGGATCTTTTGCGGTCTCTCAAATTTCATCAACAGCTCCCGCTATCGCTGCGAAAAAGATGATTAGTGAAATAAATTCATCAAGAAAATAATATTTGAGGCCCCAAGTGAGGCCCCCTTCTAGGCCGAGGCCCCCGGCAACCGCCGTGTCCGCCGTTAGGGAAATACGGCCCTGGTGATAAATTTAAAGTAGTGAGTTACATCAAAACATAATGTAAATCTTACCTTACATATTGATTATTTCTTTATCTTGTCTACCGTACTTTAAAACATTATATTTACAAGTTGTTGTGTTTCAGGCAACGACATAGTGGCCATTGTGTTTCAAGAGGCCAATACTCCGTTCTCCCCTGATATGATAGCCTCACACTTCCTCCACGCATACATCGTAGTACAAGTCCTAGAACCAAATAGCCCCAATACCAGGTGAGCAACAGCGAACAGAATGGCATGAGTCAAACTGTCTGGAACTTGTAATCTAGAATTTCCTATATTTAGGTTGAGAAGAGACTATAGTAGTACCTCAATATTTTCAGCTGAAGGGTTAAGGGAAAAGTTTGAATTATTGAGTTCTTTGAGTAAGCGAGGTTTGTGTAATACAAACAATTTGAGATACTATGGTGTTGAATTCTTACAAACACAACCTTCATAACTCAACTTTTACACGCTATACCTTTTATACCTAACAAAAAAATGTCATTAAAATGCGGAATTCCACATTCCCAAAAGATGACGGACTTTTTTCAAAAACATGTCATCAACTGACTAAATCACTTAACTTTTCTTTTTCAAATAATTTCATTACTAACAGGCTAATATAACAGAACTAGTCAAAACAATCAAGGTGGATCAAGGTGAACGAGAAACTTCATACTCGACTCCTAGTTCTGCATTTAGTTTTTTACAGAGGTTAAGTATTACAGGTCTTAAAGGGTAAAAAAATTGCCTTATCGAGGTTAGTTATGTGTAATCTTCAACTTGTATAGGTTTTTTTAACGTGGTTTAATTGGATTTCAAGGAGGGTTTGAAAAATTCTAGATATTAAGATTCAAGCTATGGCATATTTCAAACAACAACTATACTACTACTGCTCAACCTGCATTTAATTTGAAATTATTCAAGCTTGTACCTGAACTATCAACAAGACCCAGTGAGGTGTTCTACAAAGTTCTACAACTGTTGATTCCTTTTCTAGGTACAAAGTGAGTGTGACGGCTCGAGACGATGTTCCTTTCTTTGGTCCCACGTTACCCAGCCCGGCCGTGTTCCGCAAGGGCGCTGAGTTCCAAGAGTTTCTTCTTACTAAACTTATCAATGCAGAGAATGCCTGCTACAAAGCGCACAAGTTCGCCAAGCTGGAGGTAAGCAGATTTGAGAATTAATTAAAATTGTAAAATTATCGATTTGTTTGTAAACAATACTATAGTCTTTTGTTCTTGAATGTGTTTGATACTTCTAAAGTTTCCTTGGAGAATAGTATGTTCAATTTGATATTGGTAGGATGAACCAAATCTTTGCATGTCTTTTCAAGAGCTAAAAGGTCTAAAAGCCTTAACTATTTATTTGGTTAAAACCATAAAACACAATACCAATTCAACTTTATTTTCAAAGAGTTGTAAGCCTTTGTATTATACTTAACACGTTCAGTGCAACAGGCAAATTCCAACAGGCGCTCTCCAATGACGGCGAGGCCCGGGGGAAACCCCGGTGCTGCACCTTAACAGTGAACGCAATTGGCATTCAAATATTTCAATCTGACGAATAACAAAAGAGCAGCGGTGATTGCACTACGTTACCCCGAGATAGGACGTAGTTCCTTAAAACACCTAAAGGAAGCAGCACTGCCTGGATCAGTATTCAGTGTCCTTGAAATATGGCTTGAAGAGAGAAAATCCCCAAAACCGGGACAAAAGCATTGTCAGACGGGATTTTACGAGAAATTTTAGTACCAAACGTACACCAAAATAAAGCTCACATTCTAAGGTACAGGCTCGCAACGATTTTGACGTTCCCCGGCAATGGCTGAGCTCATACTGAACCAATGTTGTGGGGGTTGCGCAACTACATCAATTGATGTAGGCCGATAGGAGCGCTCGTGGCGCGAATACATCAATTGATGTAGTCACCACTGAACGTGTTAAAATGATGTACAGTACATATCTGCAAAAATATTTATATTTTTTTGGAGCCGCTACCAAGAAGTAGTAGTAATAAGGAAGAAGGAATGGATACATCTTTAGGTAAGTTAGTCAACTTACCTAAAGTGTCCCAGGAAATTAAAAGCAAACAGAAAAATTCTGTCTTCTTTTGCTTGCTGTGAATTTTTTGTGTGCTATAAACTTAAGTAGAACTTTTTTCTTATGTAAGCTTGTTGTGTATCAATTCCTTCTTCCTTATTGCAGGTGTTGTAAAGCATAAAAAATAAACCTTATTCTATACTTAACACTAATACCGAAACCCTACACAGGCTGACGCTAACCGAGACCCCATTGACTCAGCCTAGAAACACACAAACGGAAACTCTGGGCCTGTGAGACTCCCCTTTAAAATACACTAATGCTGGGCTTCTGAGACGAGCATATTATGAACAGACAACCTGTCAAGGTCACGGCACCCACGCAAAATGAACAAACAATATTAGGTATTGGAGGAAAAGAGGGGAAGGCATTGGGGGAATGGTAAACAGTAAACAGTGTTGACAACATGCGTTTGTGAAAATTCCCGTGGGCCTGTCAGACCGGGGTTTCGGTAAAAGTGTTAAACAGGTTACAACTTACACGAACCAAAACACATACAATACAATATTATTTAAAAAATTATCTTATTTCACATTTTTTTTACCTCATAACAGACATATTTCTAACACCAAAGTAATATTTGTCTCTCAGCTGCGAACAAGATCGTCGTTGCTCATGACGTTGTGTGAAGACCTCAAGGAGAAGACGAGAGAGTTTCTGGGCTCAGAGGGAACTGAACCTCCGGACACGCCCAAGTCCGAGGGTCCGGGAACGAGGTTTATTGACACTGTTCGGAAAGCTCTCATTGCACGAGTACGCAATCCCAACATGGCCACTGAGAACAACAACAACAACAACGCCAAGAAGACACCCGTCGGCAGCGTGCCCGACACACCTACTCCTGTGGTAAGTTGTTTCAAGACAACATGAATCTGGATGCACATCTATATCAGCTGTAGCCAATTTTTTTATTTAAATAAAACATGTTTGATTGAGCCATTCACAAAGTGTGCCACAGTCAAATATTTTGTTTTCTTCTTCTGTTTCAGTTACTGAGGTAGTTTATGTAACATGAAATATGTATTGCCTACAATAAATTGTGTTTTTAGTTTGGTTTGGTTGTAATGTTGGAGCATTCAACAGAAATCGGTAGTCTTAATTATCACACTGGTGTTTCAATTTAACTTTGTTAGTTTTTATTCTAAAACTGGCTTAAAATTTTACACATGGATGAAATGTATAGACGTGCTGGTTAAAAGTTGGTCAAAATTAGTTAAGTACAGTCACGGCCGCCTTTAACTACAGGCCGCGGCCTTTGAAGTGGCAAAGTTGTAACAGCTGTTTTGTTGAGAAGCAGCTAATGGTATTTGTGTAATGAAAGCTTGGTTACTGGACTATGAAAATATTGACTCCGCTTTAAATGTACAGATATAGATTTTCAATTCATATTGTTTTGGTTTTCAATTGGTATGTTTTATTTTCAATATTTTAATAAATTTATGTTCATAAATTTAAATTTAAATCAAGTGTGAATTAATGACCTGATGTCACCTGTCCACCATGTTATCTTATGGGACATCTGACACTAAACAACCCTACTTGCGATGTTGCCAATTCTACCAGGCCACGACCTGTACTTAAAGGTGGCCGTGGGTACAGTACATAATATATACATAATAGAAACAATTTAAAACCCTTTGTTTGTGAGTTTTGTCTACTGTTATACTGCTACTGTTATTGCAGTGATTCTCTATTGTTGATTCACTATATTTCATATTTAAATAAAATATTAATTGTTTCAGAGCGGAAGATCGTTATCGAAAGGAAGCAGCGGAGGAAAGAAAAGTTCGCCCTCCTCCCCCGTCTCCAGTCCAGATATACATTCACACAGAACTTTAAGGTGCTTTTAACTTTATATTATCTTTATCTTTGAATTATTTCATTTTTCTTCAACGCTTATGAAACTTTCATTCATTGATGTCCCAACTGTGCACTATATTTCATAGTAATTTTGGCTTTTTAATAATTTTAAATCTTACTAATATTATAAATGTGAAAGTTTGTGTGTTTGAAGTTCAATCACGCTTAAACCACTGGACGGATTGGGCTGCAATTTGGCATGATGATAGCTCACATTCCCGATTAACATATAGGCATATTCTTATCCCGAAAATCCTTTCGGGCTCCGCTCCAGTGGCTCTGTAGTTCCCCATGTTAACCATATGAGTATTTATATTAAAAGGGAATTAAAGAACTTAGTCAGCTGTTTCAACTAAAAAAGTTGGTTCTATGATAATACGGAAAAGCATTAAAAAGTTATAAGATTTACCAACAGGGTGCAGCATTATATTTTTTTTTTGCATTTATGAAAACAGCTAATTTGAACTAAGCAGCAACAAAAAACTGTGATTCGCAATGACAACTGTCAAAGTAGGATTGTTTACAGTTATGTTTATGTTTTTCATTTCATGAATAATTTGTGATATTTTGTGAATTGTTGATAATTTATTTTTCTCTATTGTTTAGGTGAAGTGGTAGAACATTATGGCTATGGTAGATGTGTAATACTATAGAATACTGTAAATTTAAAAAAGCAAATTTTATCAAACTGTGTCCTCCCTTATTGCAAACGCAAAGCTTGAGTATAACTGCAATAAGCATTTTATACTTATATTTCAACCCCGTACGAAGGACGGGTACTCTGCTAGTTGTTCATATTTTCCAAATACAGGCAGGCAGCAAAAGAGCTTGTCTTGATGTACATAGCATTTCAAGGTACTCCATTATATACAGCTAGGTTTGGATAACGAATAAGATCAGATAACTTAATATTGGATTATTCAGACTCTACTTACACTTCTGTTGTTTAACACTGACACCGTCTGTTGCAGGGTTTCAGAAAGCGACTCATCCTCACTTAACAGTGTGGAACTAGATGCTGCGGTGTACGCAGACAGTGACACTGGGTTGGAGAGTATGTCGTCTGCCGAGACTCCCAACAAGGTGTGCTCGCTGTGTCTGGAGAGTGGGGAAGGCAAAGCCGCCGACTCACTGCGCCAAGAAGTCACACGGCTCAAGTGCGACAAGCTAGACTTACTACGTCAGAATGTGGTAAGTAAAACAATCTCTGAAGGTTAGTCTTTTTGATTAGTCATCTTTGTTGCCCAACATTTAGAGGTGTTATTAAGTGAGAAAAGTGACCACAGGCCATAGATGTTTCATGTTTGTAATAATTGGAACTTGTATTTTATATAGTATCTGGTTCGTGGGCGGAAGTAGCCAGTTGAAAATCGGGGAGGGCTGGTTTCAAAAATCGTATGGAGTGCTACAACCAACTTATTTGGGCTAGAGATAACTATGTACACTTGCTGTATGGGGCAATTTTAGGCATAACGTAGTGTTAACTTCAAACCTCGCTCTGTATTATTTTTAGTTTTGATTCTGTTTACATGAACCCCAAAAAGGGGCTGCAGCCCCACTCCCGTGGATTGCACATGAGTTAATGTTAATTGAAAACTAAAATACCAATATTGACCTTTGGTTTGAACTACATCAAAAGTTTGCCAGTTCGACATTTATGTCAGTATCATAAACTCGGATTCATGGGAGACAGTGCAAATCAGATAAAGATTCTTATACTTCTGCTTACATTGATACAACAAAATAATCAACATTTTTAAGCTTGGGTATGATCATAAATTAAAGTTGTTTCATTTATGAAAATTAATGTTTAGGTAAAATAAAGAAAAGGAAAACATAACCTGTTTGTATGGCCAAAAACTTAAAAAAAACTTAGGGTAATTTTTATGATACTTTCAGAAATAAGATATAAGAAACGCAGAATAATCTTCTTGAAATTACTTGCAGGCTGGCCAGAGAGAAGTTAAGCGGCTAAGAGAAAAGGAACTTGCTCTTCAGTCCGAGTTGGCAAATGCTTCAAAAGAGATTTTGAGGCTACGAGAACTACTTAAAGATTACACAACAGCTAGTAGTGAAGGATCAGCTGTGTGAAACCATATTGTTGGAATCAGCTATAACATCTGTTTGAAACTTACCATCTCCGATTATTTATGGCTAAAAGAACAAAACACTCTTGTTCTGGATTAGACAGTCGTTAAATTATTACGGCCTTTGAAACGAATCGAAAGGGCAAATAAGTGTATGAACTGGAATAATTAATTATGAAAAATTAAGGGATAAATGTTTCTTACTCTAAGAAAATAACTGGATTGCTCTTTTCCCAGGCTTTTAGTTTTACTTCCCAACCCTATCTTTTGGAAAAGAGTATTTTTGTAGAGATTTTGTATTGTGGTGCCTGATTTTTAAATCCATTTCAAACTATTTTTTTATCCATTTCAAACTATTTTTTTATTTTTTTCTGTTTTACTGATGATTTGAGCAATCCTCTTATTTCTTTTTTTATTGATCAATATGGCTCTTTGTTTTCAATGTTTAGCATGATATAAATGTCACAATTTTAAATTAATCTATGAACTTCTAAGCTGTAAAATTTCAGGAAATACTTTATTAACAGTACTTGTTAAATTTGTATTTGATTACAAAACCTACACAGTATTGAAACTAAGAAACTACTGTATTTATTTTGCATTTATAGTATATATTACCTGGCTATGCAATACTTTCTCTGACAAACCGAATCACAATACAATTTGTCTTTATAAAAACGTTTTTGTTTCGTGATTCACAATTTTTTGAGTTGTATTAAAATGTTAACACTTTGGTAAAGTATTACTGTATACTACCAACTAACTAAAAGATTGAATATGTCAATTGCTTACTCAGTACTATTGTCTGTAACACCAATTCGTGTACGCAGAGTATTATGATGTATTGGTTATCGTCAATGTTTTGGTGTTCGGTGTTACATTGTATGTAAAGGTAGTTTCACCTCTTTTAGATTCTATCAATTGCATCACATCTAAGGAAACCTTTTCATAGAGAAGTAACCTCACAGCAACAAATTCGGAAATATGTGCGGGTTTGGGAAAGAAAAGCTAGTTACTAACTAATTGTTAATATTATCCTGTTTCTTGATTAGTGATCTGATTTAAAACAAACTTTTGGTTTCAACTAGCTTTTTTATGCAATGTGAAACAAAAAAATGTACGTCAAACATCATTCAGGAAAGCAATGTTGAATTGGACCATCTGTTTGTGATGGTACTTAAATATTTTGCACTTTTTATAAATGTGTTATAGAAAATTTGGTTGTAAAACATATTATTTTTACTATAATTTTGAGTTATTATTCAAGAATCAAACTTGACTTAAAAACCACTTTTCAAGCTCAAAAGTGATTACTGTTTTGCTTTTATGTATGTACTTGTATAATGCTGTTGTTTTAACATGTTAAAAATAATATTATATATAATAGTTAAAAACATAAAATGATATAGAATATTTTTATTATATATTTATAAAGTTATCAAAATTTTCCTTTCCGAACAGACTTGACATAGCTTTATCTTTACATTGAAAGTCTTGTAGCAGGATATAATCAATTCCATATTTCACAATAAATACCTATTACTTTTACTTAAATAAAAAACCTATAAAATCTCTAAGGTTGTACATTCCAATTGTTTGCATGTTTTTTCTTCTTTTTGTTTTGTGTGAATTTGTACAGTTTTTGTTTATTAATTAACATGTTTGGTGAGTTATTTTTGTGGGTTGTGTATAAAGTTGTAAGATAGTGGAGTACAGACAATCTCAGAATCACCGTGTATATTATAAGCACATACCAAAGCTAACATTCCAGACTTCTGGAACTTATTATTTATTGAGCTTTCTCTAATGTACATAACTACTCCTAAGATTTATATATTTTTAGACGTTAAATTGTGAGTGATACAAACAGGTCTAGAGATAGTTACGAGATGTTGAAATGAATCTATTTTCTCAGAAGTTAATCATTAGTTAGTCTAGTTAGTGTTGAAACTATTTATTCATTGTTGTTTTACGTCACCAATGCAGTATTGTTTGTATTAGAGTTTGAAGCCTGAACGTAATTATGTTTTTGTATTGGCAAAGATATGTTTCCCCAACATCACCTTGTTATGCTAAGCTAGTGATGTTCTGAAAGATAAAAAAAAATATTCTTGATGAACTAAAAATAACTATAAATCGCCAAGATTATTAATATTTAGTCACAAAGGTTTACTATTTTTTTTTTTTTTCGAATCTTGTCAAAAATTAAGACGGCCCAAAAATAATTTATTACAGTAAGGAAAAAATTGTTCTTTTTTTAAATTAGGCATAAGGTGATATGTTGAAAGAAATAAATTATTGAATTTTTACAAGTAATCAGATTTGTTTGCCTTTTTTGTATCATAATTCAATTCATGTTACTTGATGACATCACTAGTATTACCTCCTAATTTTTCTACATCACACAAGTTTATAAATTGTATTTTTACCCTTGTACAATGTACATCTGAGCAGGTGCTAGAAACATTTATTGTAAACTGTTTCTCTCGTTAGTGCAATCGCAACCACTATAAACTGACTAGATTAGTTGGCACATTGTATTGTACATACAAATAAATTACAGTGTCTGAACTAATGCATTTGTGTTCATGTTCTTTCCTTTTTAACTCCAAGGATTATTCAGTGATTTAATTCAACCCTTGTTTTCCACTCATAAACATACAAATAAAAATTACATTATTCCAAAACAAGATTGGTGGACACACACAGTGGATAAGCCGATAGTAACAAAATTCCTCATTTGACGTGCAACTCAAAAGGGAAGAGGTGAAAACTGCTCCCCCTTGACTGTACTCTTTCTTACCTTACCTAATCACAACTCGCTTTGTGAAACGAAAATATGAATCACTACCGTAGCTTTTATGTGATGAGGGGTGCAAGTTATGTTTTCTGACTACTGTTTTTTTCAACTACTAGGTTTGAGGGTTAGGTTTGGTTGGGTTAAGTTAGGCTAGGAATACCAATGTTTTCATTGGCTCTTCAGCTTTGAAATCAAAATAAAATCTAATTTGATTTGTGTAATAGCCTAGTGTTTTGATAACTGAATGGTCTGCTGTAATTGATTTAAAATATATTTACTTAAAATTATTACTTACATTTTATTACACAATTTAACGAAAACTAGCTGTTGGCCTGTCCTACGTACGGGAATAAAGTAGTCGATTAAAACTGAGAATAATTCAGAACAGCTAGTCTACACCCATAAAGAAACATTCTGGCAGTTTTAGAAGGGAAAATCGTCTTGAAAACCAATATCACGTGACCAGCTATTTCTTTCATCAGATTATAAGCCTACAAAAATTTGGGTTTCCTTGCGTCAACACAACAGTTGGTCGAATACTTTTTACCTGATGCCTACAACTACATTTTACAAGAGGTATTTTGATGACCTTTCTCAGTACAAACCATAAATAGCTCATGGTTTGTGCCTGAAGAAACAAAAAGGCATATTGTGTTATTGTACAACAGAAACAAAATACATTTTTTCCCACAGCCAACAGTATAATAAATTGTTAAAGAAATGTTCACCCAATAGTCATTTAAATTTGATAAAGTTACTCAGTTTATACTGTACATAATTAATTACATATTAATCAACAGTTGGCATTGAGCCCAAAAATCTAAATCATAGGCAAAACCTGTTTACTTAGTTGAGATTACAAATAAATTAAAATAGACCACAGAGAAGTAATATTTCTCTGTGAATAAACTACTTAATAATGAAATGTTTACTAAAATTAAAACTGAAAGAAGAAAATTAATCATGCTCAATAATTTCTATATCTAGCCAGGGGGTAGAGGTGTATAGTCAATGGTTACGCGCCACTGTTCTGTAGCTGCGGTCATAATCACGATTACGCCTCCTGTCTACGTTTCGTTGCCCTCACGTCCGAGGCATTTAAAAGAAAAAAAACTACAAATAAACAAATTATAGCTACACAAAACAACGATAAATGCACAAATTTAAGTTACAATCATGCTAACACGATCCATCATAGCGACACAAAACAACGATAAATACACAAATTTAAGATACAACCATACTAACAGGATCCCTCTTGGGGGTTATGTTTACACAAACTCAAAATAAATTTACACAATGCGTTTCATTGAACTGAAAAATAAAAAACAGCAATTAAATTATTAAATTATACAGCTGATCAAAATGTAAACAATTATGTTCTTCATAAGGATAACATGGGAACTTTCAAAGCCACTGGGGCAGAGCCCAAGGGACTTTTTCAAAAATGTAAGGCCAGTTTGCAAATCTACGCAACACGCTCTTTCCAATGAGATGTCAATGGATAAAATCGGTTAAGAAATGGCGGAGGAGTTCAACCAACAAAGTTTCATGTAGCATATTAATTATATAGATTTTAAATGGTAATTTGTTCTTTACAATGAATAATAAAAGTGTATAGGTACCAAAAATAAAAATAGAATATTTTACTTAATTGCCAGTGGATAAACAATGTTTTATGTTTTTTCATTAGGTGTATAAATATATAAGTTTTTAGGCGTACCTACCACCACGTGAGCACGCAACATACAGCTGTCCGTGTGAAAAGCATGCATTTTCTAAATTTAACCGGACGATAGTCAGGGATTGCCCTAGTGCCTTATAATGGTGATTGCGAAAGCAGGACACAAAGGAAATTGTTGTTGCTTAAATTTAGAGGGTAATTTGGATAAAATCATCAGTATTCTTGGGATTAAGACTATTTCTTCTTTTAAACTTACCACTGATAATTTTTGCTTCAATCAATTTTGGTGTAGGTAATTTTTTTAATCTTCAGTCTAGTAACGATGCACAGCTTTAGTGGATTTAAGTTTCGCAATAGTATAATTAGAGTTCCTTCTTTTAATGACAGTAATGTGTTAGGTTAATGACAAATAGAGAGGCATCTGAATACCTGAGATGCACGCACAATTTTTATTAGCTTAATAATTTATATTAGATTGTGTGGGTATAGAACAAAAGATAAAAATATTAAGGCAATGCCATCCCTTTGATTAATTGTTAAATTAATACTTTGATAACGGTTTTGTGTTTACATATTTAACATTGGGGAATTTAAACGTTGTTGAGTGCACAGGTGTGCTGCGATTGGGGTTAAATATATTTGGACTTATTCATAAGTAAAATAGTTTTCTGTGTTGCACTCTGTGGAAACATTGTGGCACTATTTCAAATCATGACTTATACAGAATGTCGTGATTATTTAAACCTACAAAACAGTTGGTGAAAGTAAACATCTGCTTTTAAATTATATTTATTTGTGAACATTGTAGTTCAAAAAGTCTGACATTGGCCCACTTAAAACCCTCTGGGGTGGAGCTCTTTTGACGGATCTGCACCAAACTTCACACAAACCATCCTTGAATAATGGCTGCTCAAAGTTTCATTACAATGAGCAGTTTTGGAGTCCATAATAATTACAGTCCAGTTCATTACATTGACCAGCTTTTGCATTACCTAACTAATAGTATATTTCGTACCTAGCTAGGGCCGAAAATGAGATTTTGCCGGCTCGAGATAATTTAAGTTCGAGACGAAGTTGAGAACTTAAAACGATCGAGAGCTGCAAAACCATTTCGGTCCGTGGTATGAACGCCATTTTTCACCACACTATACTCTATTACCACTATTCACCACAATAATAATGTACACTAACAGTCAATACAACTACAATGGTTATGTGAAGATATCATTAAATTTGAGGAATCAGTAAAAATAATAATAAATAGTTGCTAGGCAACGGTGATACTGATTGTGTATTTAATTATGCATTCATGTTTCAAGAAAGTAAGCGGACAGCTGATTTTGCGGCCCTAGGGATGTAAAACCCCGCTCAGTCCTCAAATGACGATGACAGCTGGCATGGCCAGCAAAACGTAACTTTCAGCCACCAATTAACGTATGTAAAACATTTTAAAAATAGTTGTTTAGCCTCCGGATTACTGTATTATACTTAAAATGGTTTACAATACCTGCATATAGTAATCCTTTGTTGCTGATTTAGGCAACAAGTTTCGGTTCTTGTTTTGAACCATCTTCAGGCCTCAAGGTGTCAAGTGATCACTTCATTCGAAGGTCGTTAACAGAGTTCAATAAATAAAACATATACAAAACACGATACACGAAACGGACACACATTACAAAAAACACGAAGGGACATTGACAAACGATCGTGACCGGGCTGAGGTAAAGTCTAGACATGGTTCAAAACAAGAACCGAAACTTGTTGCCTAAATCAGCAACAAAGGATTACTATATGCAGGTATTGTAAACCATTTTAAGTATGTAAAACAGCTAAAAACATCATAGTGTGTTGAAAATTAAATTAAATATTTAAACTTTGGAAGCATGCCAGGCATAGCCCTTTGAAAATTAGCCTGTGGGGCAGGACCCTTAGGAAATTCATCCATATCAATACTTTTCGGCAAATTTACACACTCTAAGACTCATTTTGATATGTGCCACATGCCTATATTTTTATTTGGTTGATGGCATAAGCCGTTTACATAAAATTGCATTGTATTACTTTAATAATATAACAGATCAACTTGTTTCAAACAAAATAAGTACCAAAAGTAAAGGAAAAGTAGTGCCATTGACTATGGTAGTACCATACATAGACATACTCCTTTAGTAGAATCATCATCCTTATGGATCAGCTTAATTTATTATTAGTCGCTAGGATCATGTTTTTGTTTACAATTTGTTTCTTGATATTTTAGTTATAGTCCAGTCAAGTTAAACACCCGTGCGTGCAAAAGGTCATGTAGTTCTAGTTTTTTAGTATGTTGTTAGGACCTATACCACAAATAAGAAACCAAGTTTGCAGCTTTGAAAGACCTGTGCAGCCAAAACCGTAAAAATCAGACACTTTTTTCACTTTTTGCTGAATATCTTCTAAAGTATGCCTCTAACAGAAAATAATGCCCTATCCTGTCAAAACAGTATAAAATTTGCTAAAGTTTGAGACTATAACGACTCCAATACGTCCATTATCAATAGTTATACAACACTTTAAAAACGATAGAAATTTTCAAAAAAATTAAAAAGTTTAGTCATGGTCTATTATTTTGTGTCATATTGCACACATTTTGCACATTGTATCTTAAAAGTACTCATCCAAAAAAAATCTATATGGAAGTAAATGAAAGATAATTTAATCAGCTTTCATTTGAACCCCAGCAAGCACTTATAGCCCCAATGGTTAATTCAAAAACAGCAGATAACATAGAACATGAAAAACGGATGTTAGAACCAGTATAAAAATTATTTATCAATATCACAGTTTATTCTCCTGTTGCATGTAACCCAATCAGCTGTTAGTTGGTGACATTAATATAAACCAGCTGATCAGCTGTTACTATTTATTATTTCAATTGTTTAAAGTTTATTTACTTTTAGTGATGGTGTTTACTTTTATCATGCTAGATGCGGAGCTCGGTTTAAAAAAATGTTTTGATGTGATATGTCTATTCCTACGGGCGTTTGTTTTGTGTGCCTTAAGGGCTTTAGATAAAGACCCTGTCATAATTGTTAAACAACGTGGTATTCGAGCACTTATAGACGCGAGTGCAAAACGTGGCCTCACGGAAAATTTAACTTTTCTTCGTCCGCTTCATGAAGTCACCATTCATGATGCATGTAGAAAAAGATATACTGTTGTGAGCAATGTGGAAGCTGCAGTACGTAGAGGAAGGGATTCTATTCCACCAACAACAGTATCTACTAGAGCATCAAGTTGTATCCGTTCGACCTTACACAGTATTTGTTTATTGTGTGGTGAAGACATCACTGAAGACTTTATCAAGCTTCAACAGAAACTGCCACTTTCACGAAGAAATCTGGTCCATAGAGTTGAGCAATTGGGTGCAAGGAAAACAGTGCTTGATGCAGCGCAACGCCGAGGGGATGAGTGGGGTAAGGAAATTGAACTACGCCTCTCTGTTAATGAGGATGACTTAGTAGCTGCTAAAGCGAGATATCATAGTATGTGCTATAAAAATCTATTCTCCTTGCCAGGAACAAGTGGGCAGAAGAGAGGGTATCGACCGGCCGATAATGTAGAAGAAGTGATGGAATGTATCTACAAACACATATTGGAAAATAGCGAAGAATGCCAGTTCTCATTAGATGACCTTTTGAAACTGATTATAGGTAATTACATCCCTGATGTAAGAACAGTGAAATCTCGTCTCAAGAAACGTTTCGGTGATGACATCGTGATATCAGAGGCCGGATCCAACAGGGGTGCAGTAGTTTGTTTTAAAGATAGTGGTCACAAAATTTTGTATGATCATTGGTATGAGGCAAGACATAGTGATGTTCAGCAAGAGCGGTTAAGAGTGGTGAAGGCAGCGGCCGAAATAATACAGTATTAGAAGATATTCGGTCTTAAGTATATGACACAAGTGAATATCCTCCACCTGATGGGTTGTTTAACAATCTTGAGACAGTTATCCCTGAGTCTCTACAATTGTTTTATGAGACCATTGTTCTGAAAAACAAGCGTGGCCTTTTGGAAACGTGGAAAAAGAAATGTGTGGCATTTTCTCACGCTCTTATATCAGCTGGATAAAAGTACAGAACTTGCTGATCAAGGTCTTCCTACACCAAGACTCCACCAAGGAAGCTGTAAAATTGGCATGCTTTGTGGAGGATGCTTTGTGGCTCTTTATGGGGGTGACATTCAAACTGAGACCTTGGATCACCTTCGCTACAAGATGTTTGTCTCTTCTAACAACATCAACCTTGCCCGTCTACCACCGTCAGAGGATGCTGCAGGCCACCACGCTCTCAGGTGCTACCACCAAGTTCAAAAATGGTTGGGTGCTGACAAAAATCCTACTTATTGGGGAGGGAAGCTCGAATATCAAGGACTTACCCCCGTTACGTCTACCATGGATCCTGCTCCCGAAATACTCCTGCGCAAAATATCATGCAAGTGCAAAAAGGGTTGCAGCGGAAGATGCAGCTGCCGTAAAGCAGGGCTGAAATGTTCCGTCCTTTGCCAAACTTGTGGTGGAAAATCCTGCTCAAATACTCCGAGACTGGAACTCGATGCTTCAGATGATGAGGATAAGGATCTTAGAATTGAGTGTGCATCGGTTGACCCGGCCAACATCGGCAACGAAGCATTTGAACATTTTCCCGAACCAAGGCCGGCGAAAGTCAGAAAATTTTAAATACTGTCTAATATACTTGGGTTTTTGTCAGTCTAATGTAATATAATTATTCTTTTTATTTAATAAATTGTCACTACCTCCAGATCCGTTAAATAGTTTACTTTCATTTCTGCAAAATCCCCTTCTTACATTATATGTTATCTGCCGTTTTTGAACGAACCATTGGGTCTAGATGTGTCCACTGGGGCCAGCTGATCAGCTGGTTTATATTAATGTCACCAACTAACAGCTGATTGGGTTACATGCAACAGGAGAATAAACTGTGATATTGATAAATAATTTTTATACTGGTTCTAACATCCGTTTTTCATGTTCTATGTTAAATCTGCTGTTTTTGAATTAACCATTGGGGCTATAAGTGCTTGCTGGGGTTCAAATGAAAGCTAATTAAATTATCTTTCATTTAATTCCATATAGATTTTTTTTGGATGAGTACTTTTAACAATATGACACAAAATAATAGACCATGACTAAACTTTTTCATTTTTTGAAAATTTCTATCGTTTTTAAAGTGTTGTATAACCATTGATAATGGACGTATTGGAGTCGTTATAGTCTCAAACTTTAGATATTTAGCAAAAAGTGAAAAAAGTGTCTGATTTTTACGTATTTTTGGCTACTACGCCGGTAGCACAGGTCTTTCGAAGCTGCAAACTTGGTTTCTTATTTGTAGTATAGGTCCTAACAACATACTAAAAAATTAGAACTACATGACCTTTTGCAAGCAAGACCCTTTTTTATGTTTAATTTGACTGGACTATTATTAAAACCCTCATTTATGGTAGTTTAGATTGTGTTGTTAAGATAAGAGAGGGAACTTGCTGAGATCAGCAATAAAAGCATGGCTTTTGGACTGGCTGTTTTACTCAAAGAATTTTTAAATGATAATCTTACCAACAACTGACTCAAAATTATAATTCCACGCTATTGTTATTTTCACACCACAGCAATCTGACACCATTTTTGTAATCTCAATGGTTGCAAATAAAGATGATCCTTGTTTGAAACTTTAGAGCAAAATTTTGTTTAACATTAAATGTTTACTGAACTAGAGAAAAATGCAAATAACTAAACAAGCTAAATTTGCAACTTCTCTGTGAAATGAAGATTAGGCTATATTGAAAATAAATCCTGTGTCAAAAGATTAAACTAAAAGAGAGCTGACTTATAACTTGGAACTTTTTTCATGAGGATCAAATAAAAAAATTAAGGAAAGCAAGGAAATTCTCTACAAACTCAAATCAAACTGAGTGTTTGTAATAAACGACAATCAAAACTTAAAAAATATAAGAATCCAACAAGTTTATTATTGGATAACATATCCACAATACATAGTATAAATACAGTCTTGTGAATAAAACACCTTCTTAATCATTGTCCTCATCGTCTTCATCATCTTGACTGTTAATCTGCAAAAATTAAAAAAATATTTGAGAGAAAATTCCAGAGTAATGAGTTGTATGGTAAATATTTTCAGGAGGCATAGCAAAGACCAGGGTGTCCAGTGTCCCATCAAAATAAAATTCAAGGACAAATCCAGGTTTTCCAGGTTCATAATTTCCAGGACAAAACTTGCCACCCAAATAAGCAAAACTTTCTTGTTTATTTACACCTAGAAGTAAATTTTAAGACCTTTCAGTGAATTCCGTGATAAGTTCTTGCAATCGCAGCAAAAACCATGATCTTATTCTTTCAATCGAAAATTTATGATAATTTCCCAAAAAAAAAACTTGCGGCAACATTAGTGATGATTCTCCGCAATCGCGCAACATCCATGATAATTCCCTGCAATCACGACATCATCTGTGATGGTTATCCACGATCACAGCAACATGTGTAATGATTTCCCACGATTGTGACATCTGGAATGATTTCCTGCAGTCCCGGCAACATCTGTCTTAGTTTCCCGAAACAGCAGCAACCTCCGTGATGATTTCCTGCGATTACAGCAACCTCTGTGATGATTTCCTGCGATCGCAGCAACATCCGTGATGATTTAACGTTATCGCAGCAACGCCTGTGATATTTCTTGCATTAGCTGCAATGACCTTTATTAGCAATAGTTTCCTGCAATCACGATTTTTAATTACGCAAAACGGTAATTTAGGCCGGATTTTTCGGCGATTATTTAAACATTTGAATTTCTCGGTTCTTTACAAAATTGACACAATTTACAGATTTTTTCTTGGTCATTTACATCAGATTCCCGGTTTTTCCGGTTTCCAGGTAGGCTGGACACCCTGGAACATGCTGCAGCAACTCCACAACATAAAGAAAGAATAACATGAACTGTGGCATCAATAAAATAAATATTCAGTATTGATTGGCAACAGCACCAATTTTGCATGAAAATTCAAAGAAGCACTAGGGAAATATTTACAAGAAATTAAAAAAAAAGGAAATATTTACAAGTATGCCTAATGAGCGCACATCTGGGTGTCCCAAATCTATGCAGATATATTTTAGAAAAAGTTTACTGGGTCAAATAAAACAAAAATTAAGCAAAAAATGAACTGATTAGCGACACCCGCCATTTGATTTTTTTTTTATATTTATACCTTATCTTAAAAACTATTAAGATATCCTTAAAAAATTTTGTATGGGTTTAGGAAGCCGTAAGCTGCTTGCAAAATATAAACATATAAAAATTTTTTTTAATGGTGGCCGTTTTATTTTTTATAACTTTAGGCCCTAATTAGCTACTGAAAAATTGCTGATTTTGTGAATTTCTGAACACCTCCCGCATGAATACACAATGATATTCCATAGCATTTGTTCATTTGAATCCAGTGATTTTAGCAACGAATTAGGTAATTTTACTGTCTTGGCTTAATTAAATTTCCACATATAGAAATACAATTAGTACAATAAATTACAAAAACCAAGTTCGTAGACTACTGACAGACCTAGTTATATTTACAATACACTAGTAATAGATAGAATAATAATTAGTCGAATGAACAATAAAAATCCAGTTGAGTAATAGGAGACTCACCTGGAAGTACCTAAGCTCGTAAACATCCTTCCCACTGGCGACGACTCTCAACCAATCTCTCAGGTTGTTCTTCTTGAGGTACTTTTTTGTAAGGTATTTGAGGTACCTGGAAACAAAATTGATTAATATCTGTGACATATGAAATTAATTGAAAATCGTGTGCAATAATGAAATTAGAGGGAAGCTGCATAAAGTAAAGTGTTGTCTATTAGCCAGGTAGTATAGTCAGGAAAAAAATATGAATAAAACTTTACTTTATTAAGATCTACACCTAAGTAGTTAAATCATATTTTAGTAGATCTAATGTTGTTGTAACGAGCCGTTTTTCCTAGTGGGGTAAGATATTGTTTTATAACTGTGCACCTATTGTGGACTTTAACAAGCGGCAGCGGCGAAGCGATCTAGCTCCCTTTGACCTGACTTATCAGTTCTGATAAGCCTCAGGTATCTTAGATTTTCAGGATAGTCTAGAACGGACATTCGAGTGGTGGGTTGCGGACAGTGAGGAAGAGAGTTTTGTGTCTGGTGTAGACGACGGGTGTTCTGGTGTAGGCCTACTACTTATATGGTGTTTTATGTTTGTCTTAGCCTAGGGAACAAGTCTACAAAATATATCCAGACAATTCGGAAACACCCTGTATATTGTTTTGATTTTTATGTGTTTGGTTGGTTGTTAAAGTGTTTTTTGTACAAATAGGCCTAACTTAGGCCCAAATTTTCTTAATCCCTTAATACAGTGTGGTAGTAAAAATCCGGATGGGTTTAATGTATTTTTACCGATATAGATACAGTAATGAGACTTGGTATATCAATAATAGCCATAAATGTCTACTCTTTTAAGGTACTATAACTTTTTTTATCCCTTAAGCAATATGTTCTACTAATAACTAAGGCCTTTAATTAGATTTTAGAAAAATTTGGTATGACTCCTCGTGGGCCGTCCTCTTTACGGGATAAAAAAGTGATAATAGCTTAAAAGAGTAGACATTTATGGCTATTATTGATATACCAAGTCTCATTATTTGATCTACCATATATTGCAGGGTGTCTAGTTTATTTCCATTATAAAATTCAAGACTAATTCCAGACTTTTCAAGACTAATTCCAGATTTTTCAAGACTAGTTTTTTCCACAATTAGTGGGTGTTGATACCAAAATGTATCGATTCTCGATTCTTGATACCGATACCAATTTTTATAGCTATTTCTAACCAAATTTTCTAAATAATACTACACCAACTCTTTGTCTTTGTCATAAAGTAGTATTATGATAGTGTGGTGTTTTCAAGTAAAGAAATAATGCAGCAATAAAAAAATCTAACTAGCAAATTTGGTTTTTTTATCATGAAATCTTCTGCGTACCGTACGTTTAGACATCATCATTGACTGCAGCGGTTACAGAAACGTGATCGTCGTAGTCCGCGATCACGGTAAAATCATGAACATTTCCCGCGGCCGTGTATACATCATCGTCGTCTCCCGCGGTCACGGAAACTTCATCGTCATGGTCATCTCCCACGGTCACGGAAACTTCATCGTCATGTACCGCGGTCACAGAAACGTAATCGTCGTCGTCCGCGATCGCGACAAAATCATGAAAATTTCCCGCGGCCGAGCAGATATCATCGTCGACTCCCGCGGTCACGGAAACGCCATCGTCATCTCCCGCGGTCACGGAAACGTCATCGTCATCTCCCGCGGTCACGAAAACGTCATCGCCTTCGTCCTCGATCGCGGCAAAATCATGAACACTTCCCGCTGCCGTGTAGACATCATCGTCGACTCCCGCGGTCACGGAAACGACATTGTCATCTCCCGCGGTCACGGAAACGACATTGTCATCTCCCGCGGTCACGGAAACGTAATCGCCGTAGTCCTCAATCGCGGCAAAATCATAAAAATTTCCCGCTGCCGTGTAGACATCATCGTAGTCTCCCGCAGTCACGGAAACGTCATCATCGTTGTCCGGGATCGCGGCCAAATCATGAACGTTTCCCGCGGCTGTTTAGACATCACCGTCATCTCCCGCGGTCACGGAAACGTCATCGCCGTCGTCCTCGATCGCGGCAAAATCATGAACATTTCCCGCGGCCGTGAAGACATCATCGTTGTCTCCCGCGGTCACGGAAACTTCATCGTCGACTCCCGCGGTCACGGAAACGTCATCATCATCTCCCGCGGTCACGGAAACGTCATCGCCGTCGTCCTCGATCGCGGCAAAATCATGAACATTTCCCGCGGCCGTGTAGACATCATCGTTGTCTCCCGCGGTCACGGAAATTTCATCGTCGACTACCGCGGTCACGGAAACGTCATCGTCATCTCCCGCGGCCACGGAAACGTCATCGTCGTCTCCCGCGGTCACGGAAACGTCATCGTCGTCTCCCGCGGTCACGGAAACGTCATCGCCGTCGTCCTCGATCACGGCAAAATCATGAACATTTCCAGCGGCCGTGTAGACATCATCGTCGTCTTCCGCAGTCACGGAAACGTCATCGTCGTCGTCCGGGATCGTGGCCAAATTATGAACATTTTCTTTTAGACATCACTGTCATCTCCCGCGGTCACGGAAATGTTATCGTAGACGTACGCGATCACGGCAAAATTATGAACATTTCCCGCGGCCGTGTAGACATCATCGTTGTCTCCCGCGGTCACGGAAACTTAATCGACATCTCTAGCGGTCACGGAAACGTCATCGTCGTCGTCGGCGATCGCGACATAATTATGAACATTTCCCGCGGCCGAGCAGATATCATCGTCATCTTCCGCGGTCACGGAAACATCATCGTCATCTCCTGTGGTCACGGAAACGTCATCGTCGTCTCCCGCGGTCACGGTAACGTTATCGTCGTCCCCAGCGGTCACGGAAAGGTCATCGTCGTCTCCCGTGGTTTCGGAAACGTCATCGTCGTCGTCCACTATCGCGGCAAAATTATTAACATTTCCCGCGGCCCTGTTGACAACATCGTCGGCTCCCGCGGTCACGGAAACTTCATCGTTATCTCCCGCGGTCACGGAAACGTCATCGTCGTCGTCCGCGATCGCTACAAAATCATGAACATTTCCCGAGGCCGTGAGGACTATCATCATTGGCTATCGCGGTTACGTAAACGGAAGACGGCGATCGCGGCAAAATCATAAAAATTCCCGACTTTGAAATCAAATTTAAGACTAAATCCCGACTTTTCAAGACCATTTTTAAATTCAAGACTAATTCCCGACTTTCCCGATTTTCCCGACTACTAGACACCCTGATATTGGTAAAAAATATATTAAACCGTTCCGGTACTTTTCTACCACTCTGTATATAATAAACCTACACTAATTAAAAATAATCAGTTTAAAAAATTGAAATAGGGATATTTTGATTTTAAATTAAAACAATTAAGTAGCCTAGTTAAAAATGAATCGATTTTGGTTGGGAACAGGTACCGGTTCTGACAATGAAAAAGTGGTACCGACCCATCACTAGTTTTTGGCTTTTTGCCAACTAAAACTGTATCAAGAACCCACAACGGATGGGATTTTCAATCGTAGCGCACATCTTAAGTTAAAATTAGTAATAACGGGCAATGTGAGTATGCCCCCTTTGTCACGGCTGGACGCCGACTGAGTTGGTACGAGATCCGCGCGCATTCTGGATAGCCCTCGTACATATGACCTAGCCTATTTGTAATGCACATAAAGTAGAACAGATTTGGGGTAAGTTGGAGTTTGGGACAATAAAATATGTTAAGAGGCTACAAAAGGTGACTCTTTCAAAGAAACTAAGTTAATACCACCAAAACCACTAAGTAATAAATTAAACAACTTATTTCAGTCAGTAAAAAAAAATAAACTGATAATAACATAAGCCTAGCTTACTGTAAACATGATAAAATAAAAATGCAACAAATCCTAAAATCAAATGCCCATGCCACCAACAACCCACCACACAAGCGCTGAATACTCACGCCTGCTCCTAATAAATTTTTATGTAGCTGGCCCAAACGCAGCATGATTTACTAAGGTTTTATTATGGTCAGATCCCATATTCTAATTACAGATTATAATTAGAAGAGATTTATTAATGATTGTTGTGTGTACAGTAAATGGGTGTAGAAGCAAAAGAAAAAAGCTCTACAAGTGATACAGGTGCCGATGTCAAACATGAAAAGGAAACTCAAGATAAGTATTTAAGGACTTTAATTACTGATGATGGAATGAAAAAAGGCACAGAATATATGGTTTTCGTTCATTTAACTTAAGTAAAGAAAATAGGTTGAAATTGGGAGAAAAACAAGATCAAATTTTTCTCGGTCAACTTTGACTTTGCTCTAGCTCAAGTGACACTTACCTTTTTGAAAATGGGATGTCTGAATTTAGGGCTACTTTCATTTTTAGTCGCTCTAGACTGACTGCATTGCCAAAGTTGTTTGTCTTTCCATTGACTTTGATACGCTCTTGTAGATATTTCTCCTAAAACAGAAATTGGAATCAAATAATAACATTTCTACAAGTATAGTACATGATGAGTGATCCCTTTCATCAAAGGATAAAGATATATAAGGGTACCGTATGTTGCTAGTTCAGTGGTTGGTGTCTCCAACTTTGGTGCGGAAGGGACGTGCTTGATTTCTGGTACATCCACAAAACAGATGGGTTTGGAGAGCTTGCTTTATAAATCCTTCAATTTATCCTAAAAAAAAAAACACAAAGGAAAAAAGATCTTTTTTCTTACAATTCCTTAGTTATTTATTTCTGGGGACATAGCCTAAAAGTGGAGAAGTAAACCAGTCCCGGGTCTAAGTCTTGCCATGCCACCCTACGGTAATAGATTCTTCCATTAGTAAGAAAAATTCAATAAAAGTTCATTAAAATGTTATTAACTAATCACTATACAGACCAACATTTACAAGTTTAAGCTTAAATTGGACTGTGCAAACCGCTAACAATGTGAGCTGGCCTGACTTTGTATGGCGCCAATGAGTTAATGTAATTAAAATTTTTTTTGCTGAATTAAAAATACATTGGCAATAGTTTTAAATAAACCCCAAATATTACAAATAGGCCTATTTAAAACCTTAAGTTGTATACAGGGTGATTGATATAAGTTAATTAGGCTAAGCAATTGTATTTCACATTTCACCTTCATTCATTCATCACTTTTCGTTCATCTAATCTTAATCTTTCAATATTGTATCTGTATCAGCATGTCAACCCTGTAATGTCAACCCTGTAAAAATGGTGTTATACTGTAAACAAATAAATAAATAAAGTGTGCCAGCTGTTTTATTCGAAAACTATAAGAGATAGGCCTATAAAAAAAGTTAAATGGTAAGTGCCTTGGATTATTTATTTAAAAAATTTTTTCAAGTAAAAAAAAAATATTTTAGTCGCCATTTTTCCAATATGGCCGCCAACTTTGGGTTTTCTTATGGAACACCCTGTATTTTATTATGTATTCCGGTAGAAAATGTAATTTTAAGACAATTTTACTCTTGTGTTTTTTTTTCATAAACCTAACTGTTTCAAAGATAATAATGGTTAAAGTCAAAGTTGTGAAGTTTTGAATAGTTTTCGAATAAAACACCTGGCATGTTTGCTTTAGGCCTTTATCGAAACTCTTTCTCATGCCGAAATTTCAAAACTTTAACCATTATTATCTTTGAAACAGTTAGGTTTATGAAAAAAAAAAAAAAAAACACAAGAGTAAAATTGTCTTAAAATAACATTTTCTACCGGAATACATCATAAAATACAGAATGTTCCACAAGAAAAATTAAAGTTGGTGGCCATATTGGGAAAATGGCAGCTATAATATTTTTCCGACTTGATTACGATTTTTAAAATAAAAAATCCAAGGCACTTACCGTTTAGCTTTTTTTGATATCTCTTATAGTTTTAGAATAAAACAGCTGGCTCACTTATATCAATCACCCTGTATTCCTTAAAGTTAAGTTAAAGAAGAACTTGCGTAGTATTATTAGTTGCTCGTTAAACCTTAAGTTAGAGGCCAGGTATTGTCTTACTTAATTAGGCTAGACTAAGTTTGGTATTAAATTATGAGAATTGAGCTAGTAGCCTATAACTATAAACTTACAAAGTTGGCCACATCCATGATGTTGTCTTCGAATGGGTGGGTGCAGTCGATAATAAACTTGAGTGACACTTTTTTCTTTTTCTGCCCTTTACCACGGACACTCTGCTTTTTCATACCCTGGGGCGGTTTCTTGACAGCATTCAATGCTGGCTTCTTCTGCGCAGCTGCAGGCTTCTTCACTGCAGCAGCAGCGGGCTTGGCGGCAGGTTTGGTTGCGGCAGGCTTAGCTGCTGGTGCCGCTGCAGGCTTGGCCGCAGCAGGGGCAGCAGTAGCTTGTTTCTTCTGAGCCGCAGGAGCTGCTGCAGTCGCTGGACGCTTGGTTGCCGCAGCAGGCGCAGCGGCTCCCTTCTTGGCAGCTGCAGGCTGTGCAGCAGCTGGTGCTGGTTTCTTCGCAGCAGCAGGAGCCGGAGCTGTGGCTGGTTTCTTTGCTGCAGCTGGCTTAGCTGCAGTGCTTGCTGACTTTGCAGCTCCTCCTGCCGCTGCTGTGGTTTTCTTGCCCGCAGCTGGTGCGGCTGCTTTTTCTTTCTTCCCTGCAACCTGAAAAAATGATTTTTGAAATTAGTCTGTTTTACTCAATTTAAGTGATAGTTTGAATATTTATTTGAATAAATTCATAGTTTCAACTGAATACAGTAGTTAGTCCTGGAACTCCAATATTGACTGTGTTACGTATAGGCCTATGCTTTGGCCCCATTGTCAAACACTAGTCCAGGAGTTATATAAAATAGATTACTTTGATTAGCTTAGATGTTAATGGTACCTATAAATTTGCTCATGTGAGTTTTCGCTCTCGTTTTATCCGTGATTTATAAAGTTTACTAAAATCCTTGTTGAGCGGAGCGAGCGAAGCTCTTATACGTCGACTCTTATGCATTTTGTAATACGCAAACTCCTCCTAGACGGCTGAATCAATCGTTTTCAAATTTTGCATGGTGATAAAGAGCATATCGGTGAGTGCCAACATCTATATGGCGTTAAAAAAGACTCTCAGGAATCCGCCCCACTGGGTCTCAAAGATTCAATGTAATCCTTATGGAAGCAGTATTTGACACATACACAAAGACATAAGATCAGCTATTGACTTTTGAATGCACCAGATAAAGAAATAGCTGATAGCATTATTCCACAGACATTAGAACAGAAACGGTATGGATCATAAATATAATCAAATGACGACAATAGCTTGAGATCCGTGACGTAGGAAGTGGTTAAGGAAGTAGTAAAGGTGAGCAGTCTGGAGTGTGGAAACTGTTTATGACGATTAGATTTAGGTATCTGCATTCCTAAAATTCTATGGGAAGGGAGAAAACGGGTCCGCGACGTAGGAGGTGGTGAAGGAAGTAGTCAAGGCGAGCTGTCCGGAGTGTGGGAACTGTTTATGATGATTAGATTAAGCTATCTGCAATCCTAAAATGCTATTGGAAGGGAAGGAAACAGGTCCGCGACATAGGAAGTGGTGAAGGAAGTAGTAAAGGCGAGCTGTTCGGGGTATGGGATCTGTTTATAACCATTAGATGGAGGTATTTGCAATCCTTTGATGCTATGGGAAGGGAGGGAAACAGGCCCGTGACGTAGGAACTGGTGAAGGAAGTAGTCAAGGCGAGCTGTCTGGAGTGTGGGAACTGTTTATGACGATTAGATTAAGCTATCTGCAATCCTAAAATGCTATTGGAAGGGAAGGAAACAGGTTCGCGACGTAGGAAGTGGTGAAGGAAGTAGTCAATGCGAGCTGTCCGGAGTGTGGAAACTGTTTACGACGATTATATTTAGGTATCTGCATTCCTAAAATTATATGGGAAGGGAGGAAAACAGGTCCACGAGGTAGGTAGTGGTGAAGGAAGTAGTCAATGCGAGCTGTCCGGAGTGTGGAAACTGTTTACGACGATTAGATTTAGGTATCTGCATTCCTAAAATTATATGGGAAGGGAAGGAAACAGGTCGGCGACGTAGGAAGTGGTGAAGGAAGTAGTCAAGGCGAGCTGTCCAGAGTGTGGGAACTATTTATGACGATTAGATTAAGGTATCTACAATCCTAAAATGTTATGGGAAGGAAGGAAACAAGTCCACGACGTAGGAAGTGGTGAAGGAAGTAGTAAAGGCGAGCTGTCCGGAGTTTGGGAACTGTTTATGACGATTAGATTAAAGTATCTGCAATCCAAAAATGCTATTGGAAGGGAAGGAAACAGGTCCGCGACGTAGGAAGTGGTGAAGGAAGTAGTCAATGCGAGCTGTCCAGAGTGTGGAAACTGTTTACAACGATTAGATTTAGGTATCTGCATTCATAAAATTATATGGGAAGGGAGGAAAACAGGTCCACGAGGTAGGAAGTGGTGAAGGAAGTAGTAAAGTCAAGCAGTCTGGAGTCTGGGAACTGTATATGACGATTAGATTAAGGTATCTGCAATCCTAAAATGCTATTGGAAGGGAAGGAAACAGGTCGGCGACGTAGGAAGTGGTGAAGGAAGTAGTCAAGGCGAGCTGTCCGGAGTGTGGAAACTATTTATGACGATTAGATTAAGGTATCTACAATCCTAAAATGTTATGGGAAGGAAGGAAACAGGTCCACGACGTAGGAAGTGGTGAAGGAAGTAGTAAAGGCGAGCTGTCCGGAGTGTGGGAACTGTTTATGACGATTAGATTAAAGTATCTGCAATCCAAAAATGCTATTGGAAGGGAAGGAAACAAGTCCGCGACGTAGGAAGTGGTGAAGGAAGTAGTCAATGCGAGCTGTCCGGAGTGTGGAAACTGTTTACGACAATTAGATTTAGGTATCTGCATTCCTAAAATTATATGGGAAGGGAGGAAAACAGGTCCACGAGGTAGGAAGTGGTGAAGGAAGTAGTAAAGTCAAGCAGTCTGGAGTCTGGGAACTGTATATGACGATTAGATTAAGGTATCTGCAATCCTAAAATGCTATTGGAAGGGAAGGAAACAGGTCGGCGACGTAGGAAGTGGTGAAGGAAGTAGTCAAGGCGAGCTGTCCGGAGTGTGGAAACTATTTATGACGATTAGATTAAGGTATCTACATTGTAGACCTTTAATTGAAAATTTGTCAAAATGCAACCGTACAAGTACACCTAGCCAACCTTATATTCATTTTGTTCGGAAAGAACAGGAGAATCTAGGAATAGTAATAAGTATAATAATAATTTAAACATTGAATTTTTTCGGTAAAGTGAAAAAAAAAAAATTTTAATTTCATAAGCGGCCTTGGTAAAATTTTTTCTAGCCTACATATTTTTTATAGGAAATTCATTATATACATTTTGTAGACAATCTAATTCCCTACATATAAATATATAACATCTTAGGAAAATCTTTTTTTAATAAGTTTTTGGGGCTAAATACAGGTCGTCCCAAAGAGAATGGATCAAAAGTAAACTGACATGAACACTTTATTGTTAAAGATAAAAAGGTAGTAAATACACATATTATTACATTTAATAATATACATGTATATACATGTTACAGGTAGTTATATACATTTTATTTCTTATAACATTCTAAGTTTTTCCTAACATGATTTTACCGCCTAACTTAAATACATGTTCTCCGTTGTTCGCTCGGAGAAAGTCAAGGCAGTTTTCAAGCTCAGACCACACATTGTGTCACATTTCATTGGATATTTTTCCAAGAAAGGCTTCCCTTATCTTTGCTTAAAGTTCATCTAAGTTTGAGATCGACAAGTTATACACTTGATCTTTCACAAATCCCCATACAAAAAAATCACAAGGCGTAAGGTCTGGAGATCTAGGAGGCCACCGTATGGGACCGCCGCAACCAATCCAACTGTCTGTGAAGGTTTCATCCTGTGACTCCATCTTGCTGTAATATCACGTTTGGTTGGAAAGCCTCTAATAATTGAGGATAGGCATAGTTCTCCAACATGTTGAGGTACACTTTCCAGTAACTGTTTGTTCATGAAAGAACAAAGGGCCTATTAACGTGTCATAAGCAATCAACACCAGACGTTCACTTTGGGACTGTCTCTTACATGTTCACGAACAAAATACAGTCTTTGTGAACCCCAAATCCTCACATTATGTTTGTTTACGTTTCCGGAAGTGTGGAATGTTGCTTCATCAGAGAAAACATTCTTTTCAAAAACTGGTCGTCTTCAGCAACTTTATCCAGCACATTAATCGCAAAATCTTTACGAAGCTGTTTGTCATTTGGTTTCAACTCTAGCAAAACTTGAAGTTTGTTTGCTCTAAAGTCTAATATCTTGTGAAGAACTCAGAGAATACTACATCTAGATACATTTAACTCACGTTCAGCAGTTCGAAGTGACTTTCTTGGGCTTTGAAGATATGCATCTCAAATACTGTCAACAGCTTCATTCGACAGTAGAGGCCTACCGTAACCTTTTTTATGGCCGATATTTCCAGAATCCTTGAACTGCCTGTAACATTGCTGGATACTGTTTCTGGATGGTGGATTTACATTGTATACAGTCCGAAATCTTCTTTGTACTTTAACCACTGATTAAGTCTCAATGAGGCTTTTGAGGCACTGTGCTTTTAACTGCACATTCATAATGCAACTGTGAGGTTTGTTTATGCTTTGAAAATTCAAGCGTGCTCACAACAATAAACAGCTGGTTTTTGTTGAATCATACTAAAAAAAACTGAAAGATGTCAGCTTTTAAATAAGCCATACTTGACTTTCCTACGACCCTCAATAACACGTATACTAAGCTGTAGATTTGATCCATTCTTTTTGGGAAAAAATTGAAAACCGTACAGTGTTAGTATGTGTTGTACAAATTTATATAATATATGTGTATACTAATAATGATATATGTAGATGTTTATAAAGCTAATGAAGTGAATCCAAAAAGTCATCAAGTTTATGGTAAAATAATTATTTATTTAGGCCTATAAATAAAATAATGTTATTATATTTTAGCGATTTTGTGAAAAAAGTTCATACTTAGTATTTAGTAAAAAACTTTAAGTACCAAATGTTTTAGCTCCAAACCAACATAGCCTAATCATCTTGAAGTGTATTCAATTACCTACATAAAAATGTATAACACGGTGGGTAGGCCTACCTAATAATTTTTGTTTTTACGTGTTAGGGGCATAATAACATAATAAACGGAAAACTGCATAAATACAACCACAAGAAAAATACAACCTTTCATTTAAACACAATAGGGTATCACACTATTTAGTAAATATTCATGCATAATAAAATGCATGAAGATTACTGTAATATAGGCTACACACACACATTTCTCTAACAATACAATTTAAATACCTAATAAGGAATTTAGTAAACTTAATAAATCGCAGATAAAACGAGAGCGAAAACTCACCGGCAACAACACGTTTGGCGATGCAGTTTTGCAACCGTTTCACATTACAGCAAAAAAAATACCGGTAGCTTAAATATTCCCTATTATGGGAAATTTGCTAAAATGGATTTTTTTTATTTTATTTTTATTTATTAGTTAGGCCTATCATTAAGTTTAGTAGGCATCCTCCCATTTATCTATAATTTGAAGTTAAAAATACACCCACCGCAGCAAACCTGCCGACTAAGCGAATATCCATTTGTCTGAATTGATTTTTAACTAAATCTATTTTAAAAACATTACGTTTAATGAGTACCTAGGTTTGCCGCTACAAGGAAACTAATGAAGTGTATTTTTTGGTAAAATATTAATGGCTTAGTATAAAATAAATAAATTTGCCAAGTTGGATCAAAATATATAAACAAGCAAACTAAGTTACAACATTTTATAATATTCTCCATAAGAATAACATGGGAATTTTAAATTTACAATTTTTAACTTTCTCTGTTACAGTACCAATAACCAATCAAAAACACTTTGATATAGGCCTACTAAATTATTTATATTTTTAAGCTCGTTAAAAAGATCTGGAGAGAAACTGGGAAATTTTGTGTTTTGAGGGTCAAAAAAGAGAAAAACCATTTTATACAACCCATAAAACCCCCGTAAAGTTACAACATTTTAAAATATTCTCCATAAGAATAACATGGGAATTTTAAATTTACAATTTTTAACTTTCTCTGTTACAGTACCAATAACCAATCAAAAACACTTTGATATAGGCCTACTAAATTATTTATATTTTTAAGCTCGTTAAAAAGATCTGGAGAGAAACTGGGAAATTTTTTGTTTTGAGGGTCAAAAAAGAGAAAAACCATTTTATACAACCCATAAAACCCCCATAAAACCCCGTTCCCATGGTCCGATGATGCTAGTTCGCGAACTCATTCTCAAGTTTATTCCGCTTTACACCTTTAAGCCAAATTTCATTAAAATCGGACAAAATTTACTCAAGTTATCGCATCTACGGACATATAGGGGAGAGCGGGGCTAACCGTACACCCATTTTTTGGCCTAGAATTCAAGCTAGGTGATCCCAATAAGTGCTGCTATCTAGCAGCAGAATGCGCAAGTTTACAGTATATGCATTGTTTTGCTATGTGTGCTAGTTTCAATGTTTCAGTAAAAAAACATGTTTCTACTCACTTGCTTCTAATTTTCGTCCAGTAGGGTAGGCCTACTAAATAAAAAGTCAGTGAAGTAGCTTTTATCGCAGTCTATTAACTTAACTGTGAGATCATAATAAACTACATCTCTTTAGCTCTCATTTAGTTATTAGCGATGATTGGTTAACTGATAGAATTTGAGTTTATGTTTATAAATTCCCACGAGGTACAGATTGGGGCTAAGCCGTACAGCTCTGGTACAGGGTGCTGCTCATGTTCAGGGTGGGTCCATTCAGCTTGCAGTGCTTTAAAATTTGTTTGGAGGCACCTAGGTATAAGTTAGGCCTATTAAATAATTACCAAAAATTGAATGAAGATTTACTAAATTGAATTGATATTTTCAATCGATAGGTTATTAGGGTAAGTTCGCACAGGGGTACAGTTTCTTAACTGGGCTACGCTATTATTGATTGAAACTATCGATTTGATTAGTAAACCTTCATGCAAATTTTTCACCTTCAGCAAGTTTGGTTTGTTAGGATAGGTTATGATAGTTTAATTTTATATTAGATAAGATTTTAAAATATCGATTATTAATCAATATTTTCAATTTGATAGTTTCAATCAATATTGGCGTATCCTAGTTAAGAAACTGTACCCTAGCACAGATCAAAATTGTAGGCCTACTCCCAAAAGCAAACATGTCAATTAACTAGGATTGCTTTCAGAGAGGTGAAAGCCAGTTGAGCGGAACAAACGTGATTTGATATTTGTATAAGTAACTAAATGTAAAAAAGTCAATAGATACACTAATGCTTGTTTTATTGATACAAATTATAATAATTCAAATTTGTTTTAACTACACCTTGTTATTCAGATACCTCTTCTAGAAGTGCATTATGGTAGTTTAGTTTTTACCAGAAAAATATTACAGTAGAGGGAATCTGATATTAACATCCAAAAAGGGCATTCAAGTATAAAAAAGAGAAAGGAAATTTAACATTCAAATTTAACTGTAGCCTACAACAAAAACATTGGACTTCATTTTTCACCCTTATAATCGGTTAAAGTATTTAAGTATAAAAAAACAGTAACTATTCAAATAACGAGTATTAAAGTATAACATCAGGAGGGGAAATTTGACATTTAAATTCAACTGTGCAACATAAACATTGGTCTTCATTTCAACCATTGCAATCGGTTAAACTCAGCTTTCTTTGCTGGAAATTGTTTATGATTGTTAATACCAAGTATTCTTGATGGAGGATATGATTGTAATGTAACTGGAATGTAGGCCTTCTACCATTATTGGGACGATTTAGAGACGGCATTTTAATACTGGCCTTAATAAAACCATTGGACAGCCCTAGACAATTATAAATACCGTGGTTAAAAGTGTACTTCTATAAGCCCAGGTAATTAATTATTTACTTATTATTACGGCTGTAACTGGACGTATGTATAGTCCGTGGCTTGGCAATCAAATAACAGTATTTATATAGGATATGCTACTGTTATAAACATTTGAAATTACTGAATTTTTACCAAATTACTGTTTCACAAAATGCAGATTCCATTTTTAGCCGAGCCATTAAAATGAGGATTTGCCAAACAATTATTAATTGGCAGAATAGTATTTAATGATATACAACTTTTCACATTTCATAAATTATATGTTAGTTTTGCTATGGTCAAAGGTCCAAATCCAAATGTTCTTTTCTTTTGGTCTGTAGGCTATGTAGTAATTTGCTAGTATCATTGACTTTATATAAAGTCAATGCTAGAATACTGTAGATGGTTTGTTAAGACCTTAATATATGCAAGCATTTTTGAAATCGATTCCCCGTTTAACCAACTATTCCAAAAAATAAAAAAAATATATGGTGCAACACAAATAAATAAACCAATCACCTACCCATAACCTACACTTTACCTTCCTAATCTAACTTTACTTCAAAACACTTAATGTAGTCACAAATACTCATAAACCCCGACCTACCTTCTCCACATGCCTAAATTAGATCAGTGTTCAATCTGTGTTTTATTAATAAGTAACTTACTGTATCGTCGATGTAGTTCAACATAATATAACCATTGAGGTATTATCGGATTAAATATCGATTTCGATGCGGTTCGATATATTGATTAAATCCTTATTTCTAACATTGACTGTTTCTAATCAGCTGGCAACACAAATAGGTGCCCAAGAGTAAGTAGTCACTGCGATATGCTCCGCGCATTGAGAAATTAGTTCCGTCTATTTTCGCAATTTGTAGTGAATTCGGCGCCTTAAAAAAATGTTTTAACGGTATTTTCTTTTTTATTAAGATCATAGGAATGATTTAAAAACGTTTAAAAGAAAAGTCTAGAAAGTTCAGAAATACCTTATGATTCTCTTGTTTACATTTTTCTTGTAAACAAAAAACTGTCATATGGCTACTTTAGTCCCATAAGCCTAATGTTAAAAATTGGAAATTTTAAGTTCGTTTTAAATTGCATTAGCATTATCTAATTGAAATTTGTTTGTTTAAAAACCATCTCACTATTACTCTAGGTAATTTTGTTAAGTTTGGCTGAAATGCGTTCAGCCGTTATTGAGTGATGTTTCTCTATTTGTTGCATTGAAGTTGATCCCAAAGAGCTTCGCTCGCTCCGCTCAAAAAATCTAAATATAAGCTATACAACTTAGCCTTAAGTAAGCTAAGACTTTAGAATTACATTTTGGGGCTACATTTTAGTTTTCTCCCCACATTGACTCAAATACAGCATGATAGGTTAGGTTAGATTAGAACAGCCTCATTATAAGTAACTTAGCCTGTTGTTGTTATTATTTTTGTTATCTTTGTTGGCTACACATTTTTATTCAATGTTAATTATATCAAAGATTTATCATTGTTAGTCAACATTGCTCAGATTTTAGTTGTTGTTCTTGTTGTCTCGTCAAGTTCTCTCATTAAGTAGATTCTTAAAGCCCCTTTGCATGTTTGGCTTGACCCTTAGTTATAGGAACATAAAGTAAGCATTATATAAACATATAATTGTAAATTGGTTTGTTTTTACCGTTGGAAGCAAAATAAAAAATAAAATAAAAATAATCAGCTGGTAGTTAAGTAGGCCTATAACAGAAAAGTGGGGTGTGAACTAACTTGGTTTACAATTTTTTGATCCTCAGCACTAACTTAGCTTAACTCAATAGGCTATTTAACTTATCAGCAGCCTGTTGTCATGGCCCATAAACATCAATCAAATCAAAATAGGCCTAGGCCTACAGAGCTTCAGGTTTATTTTAGGTTTATATTATTTAGCTTCAGGTTACAGAGCGATTCATGATTTTAAAAAAAGCTGTACCGGTATGATTTAAAATATATATATATATATATATATATATATGGCCTATAGAATAAGTTACTGTAGCCTATTTTGAAGAGTTTGCAAATAGGGTCCTCTGTATAACCTCAACAAACTGATTAGAGGGAGAGCCGACATGAATGTTATCCATTTTCATCACTTGTTAGGTGGCAAAAGGAGAGATTATTGGTATCAATTAGATATCTTGATAATGTTTTGACTAGGATTAAATCATACATATTCAAGAAAATTCATTATAATGCTCATATTGCAGTAAAATCGGGACATTTGTCTCTGGGACCGACATGAGTATTTACAGGCGAATATTCTCATAACACAAACTTCTTAAGGGCTAAAAATATCTCCATTAATTCAACAATTCAAGAACTAACGGTTATTTATTTATAAATAACAATATTAGATCGAAATGATGAAAATAAAATTATATACTCACAGGAGACATCGTGGATGTTCCAAAGAAAGGAAATGGAGAAGTTTGTCAAAGGCAGACACTACTAAAACGTCTCTTCATAGAGTAAAAGAGGAATGAATAAATGCTTATCTCTAGAGTTATATCATTGAGTATACACGTATGTACCTTATATACTCAATGGTTATATGGAAGAAATGACAAGAATAACACCAGAGATAACTGCCAAGTAAAATACTGTTATAGGTACTTACATGATCCTAATAACAACGGTTCATGATCCAAATAACGGATCATGATTCAAACATCAACAGATCATGATTCTAATAACAACGGATCATGATCCTAATAACAACGGATCATGATTCACATAACGGATCATGATCCTAATAACAACGGATCATGATCCTAATAACAACGGCTCATGATCCTAATAACAACGGCTCATAATCCAAATAACGTACAATAAATGCAGGATGCGGTCGACTTGAATCATTTGTCTTTATTGTGACATAACTTATTTATGAACTTTCAACCGTCCCATATCATATTTTGTAGCCAATTATTTGATTACAGTTACAGAAGAAATAATAAGAATAACGGTAATTGGGAACTAGCATAGACTATAAAACCATAGATAAAATTATAACATTTTACTTGTTGTATAATTTAATATTCCTTAAATACATGTGTATTACCACAGCCACGACAGACTAACCAAAACCAGAAATGGTTCTCATACCATTGTTGATTCAAGCTCATTTTTCGTATCTAGTTCATGTTGGTGACACTATAGGCACTAGTGTCTAAGGATTTTCATTCATATTATTTTAAGGTACCGGTAAGTTTCATGATTTGTTCTTAGCTGTTTGATTACAAAACTAGGGGACGGGGACGGGGACGGGTTATTGTTAATTAGACCCTTTCTTTTGAATAAAATAGGTTTTTAATAGCTGGAAGTAACAAAAGAAACAAATTGTAAACAAAAACACGAACTTAGCGCCACCGGACAGGGCTAACACTAACAGTCATACCATAGACTAACCAAGCAGTATGGTTTATCTAATACCATAGATAAAACATATATACTGTATTCATCTGACCCATAAAGGATGTCAAATCAAATCTTAACGGAAACATACACCATACACCCTTACAGCTTGTACACAGTTTATTGTAGATGATTTTTGTTGGGGACATATTTTGCTCTAAACGGCATAGTCTAAAAAAATAGAATCTTCAAATAAAAGCAAGCTCTTTTGTGTTGTTTGGTTGGAATACTGGTGTATGACAAAGTAAATGTGGAAATAGTTATTTGTGCAACTAGTGAGCAAAGTGAGGAACTTAAATCTAAGAAAAGTCGAGAAACCATTCCTAAGGATTTCTCTCGAGTGAGGCAATTGCACTTTGCACTCGAGTTGCACATTATATTTTTCCCACAGTTACTATAAAACAAATAAATTGGTAAAGAAACGTAACATATTTTTACACAGAAGTGAACTTTTAATATGACATTTAATGTGAAGTGACAAATACAACAGTACAACAGCTGACCAAAAGTAATAAGAGTGAGACAATGTTAACATTGCCTCACTGATGAGCGAATTGGCCACTTTGCTTTCTCAAATCAGTGAGAGAACATGTAGCCTACATTGTTAGGTAACTGTAGGAAAAATGAGTAAATTCAGAAATTAGCAGCTTCTGTACTATAATCAGTGCAAGGAGGCCCACTTTATTGGGGGACTGTAGGAAAATAACCTCATTTAGCTACTTTAATCAAATCTGTTAAATACTGCGCACTTATTTGATCAGTTGTCATCTGAATTTTTTCCATTTTCTGTGTTTAGGTCGTGAACACACCTAAACTGCTGATTCTTTGTTTTGTTTACGAGTGAAAATTTAAAAACGTACGTTTTCAGGAAAAGCACTTTGCAAATTTTTCCCCCTTTTTTCAAAACTTTTATTATTAATTTTATTTTATTAACATTTGAAGTTTCATAAAATGTCCATGGTAACGCAATATCTTAATTTGGTAGTTTTTTAAAAAAAGAGCATCTTTAGTGGAAAAACACAAAATCCTGTCACGACCATAACAGACGTTTAAATGAATATTAAAAATAGTTAATATTGTTTTTATAACTATGTTTTGCTATAAACTAATTTACTTTTATGACCATTATACAATAAAACGGTCACTGAGCTTTTGGTATATTTGGTCTCTCTAGAAAAAAATAAAAAAACTCAAAAAATTGAAAAAAAGCCAATAAAATCTTTTTAAGTGTGTATAACTCCGAAAAAACTTACCTGAGACCCGAAAAATCGTTATGTTTGTATAGAGGTGTGTTTCTTTTGTGTATAAAACTTTGAAATATGACGATATTTTAATTTTTGAAATTTTTATGACAGAAATCATAAACGTGATGGTCAGGGACAAGCGGTACGGTCGTGAATTTTCTGAAATAATCTAAATCTTTCTAAACAATCCTTCAATTATACTGTTAGTTATAATAAAAATATGTGTTTCAATTGAAATAAACTGTTCAAATTACAATTATATTAAAGTTATTGTCACGACCAAACACACCATAATCTATAATGCTGGATTGGTCGTGAAAAAACCCGCGATGGTCGTGAAACTTTGGTCGTGAAATTACGTGTTATTTGGTATTTGGTAGCCCTGCACCTCATGTTCGAGGATACAAAGTGGACTTCTAGGTTAATCTAGCAATTGAAATATCTTATAAACAAAAATTAACACCATGTCTACTTCATCGAATGACTGCGTACGGTCATGGACACACCAAAATTACAAAAAACACAATCTTTCCATTATTAATCTTGTAATTCCTCCTTTCAACTCCAAACGACCGGCACTACAATCCAGACGTACACCTCGAACTAGTCTCTAAAACCAACTGACTCCATCGACACCAGGCTTGCCACTGTCGTGCTCCAAAGTTGAAAATTTTTCCCAAATGGTCGTGACGCCAAATCGAGGGACAGACTTATTTTGTCATGGTAGGCAGTTTGCAATGACAATAAAATTATAATATGCTCCTTTCTTGTAAGTTTAATAACCATTGATGACATAAAAATATGGCTTTATATATTTCGGCATGAATAATTAGTCTAAAAACAGCGTGAAAGTTGGAAAATGTACCCTAGGGACACGTCATGGTCGTGAATTTTGAGACTTTAAAAATACGAAAAAAATACCTAGAACCTATTTAAAACCAAATAAATGTGTGTAACATGTTGCCCCCATCCCAAAAAATATTAAAACACATAATAATAAACTACAAATCCAGTATATACGAAGTAAAAGGCCAGGGACATGAAAACGTACGTTTTTAAATTTTCACTTTTACACTATAGCCTAACGCAATCTAGACATATGAGATGAAGAGGATTTGTATTCATATTTTTTTGGGTTCTTGGCTTTGTCTCAATCTTAGAAATAGAGTAATTCGACAAACCGAGACTTGTTGTAGCGAGGTTTCACTGTAAAATGTATCAGAGTACACTAAAAATTACCTTAATGTCACTGAAAGCTTTTCCTCTACTCCAATTAATTGCTTCTCTTAGTTTGGTATCCTTCTTCTTCAAACGTGCTGATACTGCTTCTATTAAGTAATCAAAAGAGTTTTGAGAATTTGATAATATAAAAAAAACTTGTCAGAATACTTTTTTAGTTTGGTATGGGATGTGTGGAACATTCCTTGGGACTTTCTGTTGCTTAATATTGGATGGGTACACCATTTTCGCTGTCGTGATTGGCCGTCTTGCTAAAAGTACACTGATAACAACACTACGAATGTTAATTTGCGGCATGATCCAGTGCCACGTTTACCTCGGCGCTACACTAAACTGCTAGTGGAGCCACCGTGCATGTGAGCACGCTGCAGATTGTAGTTCGTACTCTGCTGCTAATGGAGCCACCAACTGTCACGTGTAGAATGCTTAAATTTGCAACGCGACAATCTAAGGCAAGTGAAGCAATAGCTAAACCCATTGGGGAAGGAATTAATGCGCTACCTGCAGCAGCCTCTGGCGGCAATTAATTTTACCGAATTTGTAGACTTTTACTCTTAACTGATATAGAAAGAAAACCTTAGGTAATAAATTAATAATTCTTTCACCATTTTGTTCACAGTAAAATTATCTACAGAAAAGTGGTAATTGGATAGTCAAAGTTCTAAACTAAAAAAAATATAAATATAAAGATTATAAAAATAAAAATTTTAAAAACAATATTTTGAAAGTAAACTTGATATACTAATTCCAAGATTAATCCAGACACCAAATAACACTACTATTATAAAGTTGAATCGATTCCCTACGTAGAAAAATCAAAAGTTGTGTAAAAGGTTGTGTACTGTAATAACATTTTTTTTTAATTGTTTGTTTACCTTACCGCAGCTGATTTTTGGTGATATGTGGTTTCCATGGCAACACAAAATTGTTTGTTATTCGCTAAAATAAATGAGAAATACGCAAATAAAGAAGCAAGATATTTATAAACATTAAGAAGAAACAAAAAAGGGCGAAAAATAATAATAACTAAAGGCGCTGCCTAGCGGTGACACGAGCGGCACTCGTAAGTCGGCCGCCGGGCATGCAGCGGCTGTACGAGTAACCCTCGTAAGTCGGCGCCAATGGGTTAAGACTGATACATCTATAAAGTCATGTTTAGAGGAGGTCAGGGGGCACCTGGCTATAATGGGTTTGAAAATACATGTGGCTAGAAATTAATTTGTATTCTAAGTTACATGGCACAAGTAATCTGGCTGCCAACTTGCTTAGGGTAAATAGCATGAATTCATGCTTCTATGAGTTTACAAAATATGAACTGCTATAACTGGTGCTTTACTTTCCATCAATACTGGAAGTTTCAATAAACTTGTTAATTATTATGATTGTATTACTTTAGGTTTCTAACTATGACAGCACTGCCGCCTCGGCATATGATTGCTACCCTAAGACTTGATGTATTTTCAAGGGGAGCCTCTCTCTACTTAACCCTTTGAGTGCCAACGTCCGGGGAACCGGACGTTTTTAAAACGAGCCAAAAGTGCCGACGTCCGGCCGACCGGACGCTTTTAGAACGAGCCAAAAGTGCCAACGTCCGGCTGACCGGACGTTTCGTAATGATCGAACAGTTGTCATAACAACCGAATGGATACTCGGATTCTTTTAACCCATATATTAACATTGAGTCGAAAGTTACTAGATGCGATACATTGATTTTCGTTGGTCGAAATATCGAAAATTCGATTTTTACGAAATTTTAACCTAAAAATCGCCAGATCACGCTCGGCATTTTTAGCGCGACCTTCGGGAAAAATCATCGGCATTTTTTGGGCGTTACTTTTATTTCTCGCCTGGCACTCTAAGGGTTAAAGGGCACCACAACAGGCCTGCACTGCCATGAAAATTACCCATTTTAGTCAACATAATATGTGATATTATCTATAGAATCATGGCTGGTCTGAATAGTTCAATAAAAATTTGTATTTATATTTATGAAAATTAAAAGAACAATTAAACGAATATAATTTTATTATATTGTAAGTTAAAATACACATATGCGGTTTTGGTGTCATGTCGAATCATCCTCCAACTATTTTCATTTCGTTTCTACTTAATAAAGGACTACCGTGCTTTGGTTTTGTAACAATTTTGACATAATTACACTTTAATTACTTAATGTGATGTGAAAATATAGTAAATATCTGCTCAAACAATAATGAAATTATAATATGCATTATAATTTAACTTAAAATGTTAAAGGTAAAAGAAAAAAATCAAATTCACAAATCGTACATTTATTGTAATATATACATTCAAATATTTTATGATAACAGTAGTGATCTCCATAAAATGTGCGTGATATTAAATGCAATATCTATTTCCTAAAGTAAAACTCTGTAAATAAATAAATAAGAACTAATTTACGAAGGTGGAGGCGGTGGAGGAGCAGTTAGTAGGTTGGGCAAGTCAGGAGGTGGGGCGACAGGCTGTGGGGGCGGCACAACATAGGACTGGGCTTGCGGCCAGAATGCTGGGGGTGGTTGGGTGGTGGGTGGTGGCTGCTGCCAGGGAGGAAGACTAGGCGGGGGCACCGTGGTGGGGGGCGGCGGTGTAGCCAGAGGAGCTGTACTCATCCAGGGCAAGGTAGCAGACACAGTGGGAGCTGGGGGTGGCACATTCAACACAGTGGGGGGTGGAACATTCACAGTGATGGTCTGTGTCTGCCATGGCGGGGGTGGTGGCTGGGATAAGTTGATCTGCGGAGGTGGCGCAGCAGCCACTGTGGACTGGGTGGACCATGGTGGGGGCGGCAGAGAGTTGGGTATCAGCTGTGGAGGAGTGGGGAGAGCCTGAGTGGTAGGGGGTGGAGCCGCGATGGCCTTGGGTGTCAACCTCCGATCAAACAACACGCCTGTGGCCGGCCGGGACGTGAAGCGACTGCTAGACGATGGCGAGCTGTCACTTGAAGTGGCAGGAGGGGGTGGTCCTTCACCCAGCTCAGCCATCAATGACATATACTGTAAATATATCAAGATATCAATGCAAGTAGTAATCAACAGCATCTGTGTTAGGGAAATTAGTTTTTAACATAAACTTTGGATGGTAATGCAGAGTAGACATCACATTTATCTGGATCTACTATGGTCGATGTTTCCAAGAACATTGTCGAGTGAGCTCATCGACTAGACATTTCATCCTCATGTTGTTGCCAGCTTTTAAGTCAAAATGGAGGTCGTTGAAGTGAGCCTCCAACAAATTGTACTGATGTAATAATTACTGATTTGTGTTGAGTATTCAGACTTTTTAACCCATTAGGGAAGGAATTAATGCGCTGCCTGTAGTACCCTCTGTCGGCCATTATTTTCACCGAATTTGTAGACTTTTAGTAAAATATTTTTAGAAAGGAAACAAATTAATAATTGTTTCGCCATTTTGTTCACAGTATCTACAAAAATAGTTAAAATTGGATAGTTAAAGTGTAAATTTAAAAAAAATTTTAATTATAAAGATTATAAAAATAAAAATTTTAAAAACAATTTTATAAAAGTAAACTTGGTTTACAAATTTGCTCCAACAATTTAATAAATATTATACCAAATAATGAATACATCCACCGATTACAAATTAATCCAGACACCAAATTACACTACTATTATAAAGTTCAATTGATTTGCTATGTACTGTATAAGAATCAAAAGTTGCTTACTTTTATAAGTAGGTAGGTAACATAGAAAAAATATTTTTGTTTTACCTAACCGCAGCTGATTTTGGGTGATATCTAGTATTCATGGCAACACATCCTTGTTTATTATTCACAAAAATAAATGAGTAAATAAGGAAAACAAGAAGCAAGATATTTAGAAACCAAAAGGTGGGAAAATTAATAGTAAAATAACTAGTGGCGCTGCATAGCTGTGACACGAGTGGCACTTGTAAGTCAGCCGCCGGGCCTGCATCGGCCGTATGAGTAACGCTCGTAAGTCAGCGGTAATGGGTTAATCAAGTCAGAATGATAAGACGACTTATTGTAAGGTAGAGTATTTTTTGTCACGTCAAATATCACAGTAGTAGCCTATAACATAAGTCAGAAAACATAATTTTAGACACTAGCGCAATCTGTAACTGGTCCTTTTTTTTATTGATGATAGCTGGTCCATATAGACGGAATGTCTATTTCAGCATCCGAAAGTCATTAAGCTTCACATTCATATACTAAAACTTTGACATGCCAATGAAATGTTTACATTTAACAGTAGTCACTTACCTCCTGATCAATCTTAGCTTTGTCTTGACGTGTGGGAGGAGTTATCTTGTCCCCGGGACGCTTCTGTCTGCAGTCCTTGGCAATGTGACCAGCGCCTCCACACAGCGAACACACGATGTTGTTGGTAACATTAGGTTTGTCCGGACACTGCATCAGTGCAACAGATCGGATCAATAAACATCATAGTAACCCTTTAAACTCCACAGATTTTTAATGATTCAAATAGGCTATATTATATTTTTCCTCTGTCTTGTGAACATAACAGTCTAATTTATATAAAATATGTTACACATGTTTTAAAACATGTTAAAAAGATACACAGTGACACAGCTATGCCACTGATCACACTTGCCTGTCTAATGCACTAACAGCATTAGTCACGCAAACTTGACTCTGAGGCCGTAGTGCATGACATTAATAGCTTAATGCTGTTTTTTCTTAAATTATACCCAGATTAAGTGAAAGATTGGTTTGGTTAGTTAAGCATAGCTGATACATCAGCCAACAGAGGTTTAAAAGGTCCGTTCTTCTACAGAGAACTAAGTGACAGAAGAAACATTCAATGGTGCACTTAAGGATCTAGCACTAGTCGCTTCTCTTAACCCCCCTCGCCTCGTACTACAACACCCGTACGAGAAGGAAGTACGACCGGGAAGACCCAGTGCGATATCAACTTCCACACACTGCACTATGCTCAAGCTCTTCCTTGGTCATAAGTATATTTCCAGCACAACATACTACAGAGCTGAAAGTACACTGTCCCATAAGCAAGTTTCTGCTCAACCTTACAGTACTTCCCTGCGGTTCTTCTAATACAATTTGTCAAACAAGTAAAGGTCCTAATCGTCCCAGCCACTCACCATCCAGCTCTTGTGTTCAGATGAGCCACAGTTTGTACACCTGGGGCCGTCGTTCTCTCTCAGTGTGCCGTTGAGCAGCGCCAACTCGCGAAGTTGCATGCGGCGCAGATCATTCTGACCTTCAGGCACTTCCACACCCTGCCGTATTATCTCCTTGATCTGCAATATATTTTTTAAGTTGCTATATCTCCTTGTGTAAATTCTATACAGAAAAGTTACCCTTGGTTCAATTTTAAGTAAGGCTGTATTCTGGATTTGTATACAGCTAAAGTGGAAATTAATGTACATTAAAAAAACATGGGCTTACAACATAACTTAAAAATAATAAAAGTTAGTTCAGAAACAAGCACTGGTGCAATATGTAACCCTCAAATGATATTTTCTCATGAAAGTTTTTCTTCAAAATGTAACCACTTTTATATATAAAAAAAACGTCCAGAGCAAGTGAAAACCATTCTGTTGAGTAATGTATTTGTTTTGTAGATTTTAACATTTATGAGAGGAAAATTAAAATAATTTTGTGACACTTTGAGAAGTTAACCACAAAATAACTAGTACTCTTTCCTATCTTTGTAACTAGCCACATGTTTGATTCACCTTGTCCACCGCCTTCTTGACACATTCTGGGTTGTTTGCCGTGACGTAGGCGTGCAGAGGTTCATCCTCTCCAGGCAGTGGCTGGCCGTCCTTGCGACCAACCTTACCCTCCTTCACCGAGCCCTTGCCTCGAATGATGATCTTGGCTCCCGTCTCTCGTTCCATTGCTGTAGAGAGAAATAATTGTTTGAATTTGTCTACAAAATACAAAAGGCCACTGCCATAATAGGTCCTTCCTTCTGTGAAGTTAAATTAAGTTTACTGAGCTGGATTTTGTTGGGATCATTTTTTAAACTAGTTGTTTGTTAGGAAATTTACAAATCGTGATGCTAGGCCTATATCTCCACCTATAATATATGTCCCATGACTCAAGGATTCAAAAAAATATTCAATTTCATTCCTAAAATTAAGAAATAAAAAATACATAGCAGTTTTGTGTTATATAAAAAAGCCTAGTTTGTGAGTCATTGTAAAAAAACAGTGGCGGTAGGTGGACTAGAGGCTGAGCATGTGTAGACGAGCAGGTTCAATGTAATCTTCATCCTGTGGGTTCTTGAGTTAAGGGCGGAGTATATTTTAAATAGGCTAACAAAGAGTTTTTAGGATTGCTGCTATTGGAAACATTTGAAACATATTTTTATAAATTAATTTATTGCTTTCTCTTTGATATCAATGTTGTTGCTTCACTCATCTTTTCCCTAATCTTGGTACTTTGGTCCTAAATCAAATCCATCCAAGGACTTTTAGATATTTACACATATCTTCAACCCTTATCATATTTTATTACACACACCAACTTACATTTCAATGTGTTTCCTCTAGGGCCGATCAACAGTCCAACAAAGTTGATGTCAGGATGGTCATCTTGAGGAATCATCACTTTGTCACTCACTCGGATGATGGGTGGTCTGCAAACAAACATTAGCAGGTCTGATCAATTGTAATCAAACTCTTCAGTATGGTCATGTAAACAGACACTAGCCAGAGATTGTCTTACTAACACTGTTTCTCTTTTCACCCTACAACCTCAGGAGACAAAGATAATGTCTACATGACCTAAGAAGATATTCACGGTTTTACCACAACCACAAAAAAAGATGACATCGTTTACGTGACTTTTTTGTTACCGCGTGAGACAAAGTTCATGTCTACAACACTGCGGATGATGTACAAGATGTTACCACCATCACAAAAAACTATGACGAGTTTCAATGATCGCGGGAGACGATGTCTACATGAACTCAGGAGATATTCAAGAAACTTAGCATACATACAGTCCACTGTTGTATTTCCTTTTTCCAGAAAATCACTGCCGCGATCACAGAAAACGATAACGATGTTTCCATGGCCAAAGGAAGCGATGAAAAAACGTCTGCAAGAGTTTTGGGGTATTGTCGCAATCATTGCTTTTGCTGAGATAAAAAATTAAAACATAAAAGTGGTGACGTTTTGGTAGGGGAAGGTGCCATTGTACTTACGCCACTGCCTCTGCTACAATGCTTTTACTGGATTTCATTGATTGTTACTTTAAATTATTAAAAATAAGGGCTTTCTGTAAATTAAGGTTTCCATTGAGCTCCTGTTACAGCAAGCGAGCTTCTTCAAATGAGAAACCAAAATTGTGTTATTTTCTTTATCCAATTATATTCTAGCTCTAGCCTTTTCCGCCTTTTGTGACAATTAGTAGTGATGGACAAGACCCGAAACTTTAAGATTTTTTCGAGATTTATTTTATTTCAAAGCTTTGAGCGGGATTGAAATACTAACAGGATATTGACAAGATTTAATTTTTTTTTTAATATTAAAAATTTAAAATTAAAAAAGGGAAGTTATTTTGCATGAAACATAAATTAAACTTTTAATTAATTTTTTTTATTTTTAGAAATTGAAAATTAAAAAAAATTAAAAAAAATAATTTTTTTTTATAAATTTAAAACTAAAAAAATTTAAATAAAAAAAATTAATTTTTTATAAATTTAAAATTAAAAAAATTAAAAAATTAAATACCATTAAAAAAATTTTAATAAAAAAGAATGTAAAATTTAAAACAACTGCAAAGTTTTTTTACAAAACGTAAATTGCAAACTTTTAATTTAAAGACACTGCCTCTTCAAAATTTAGAAACCCCTGGTCTATGAACCAGGAGAACAAAGACTTCGGAATGAAGCATTGATTATAAATCAGCAATTTTTCAAGCCATATTTAGAATTTTACATTTCTGCTGCCATTATTATGTATAACTTAGATAGGTGCCTGCCACAAACCGCCATGGAATTAGTAGCGCTAGAAATATTTATATTTGTTAAAAAGAAAAAAAAATGTAAATTTTGTTTGTTAAATTTTTGTGAATCAATTGGACCTTGCCGACAAGTTTTGCAAACTTGGCGAGACCAAGAATTTGTATTATCACAAATAAACATATTTGAATTTGAATATTTGAATTTGAAAACTAAAAAATTTATAATTTTAAAATATTAAAATAAATTCAAAAGATTTGTTAAACTGCATGTTTTTTTGCAAAACGTAAATTGCAAAATTTTATTTCAAAATTAAAAAAATTTTTTTGGAAATTTAAAACAAACAAAAATTTTAACTTAAAAAGATAAAAAAAGTTTTAAATTGAAAAAAACTTGAAGTTTTTTTTTGCAAAACGTAAATTGCAAACTTTTAATTTAAAATTGTAAAAATAAAAAATAAAAAGAATTTTAATTAAAAAAATTAAAATATAAAAATAAAAAAACTTATATTTGAAATATTTATTCTTTACATGGAAATATTGCTTCAAGCATTTTATAATTTTTTTTGCATAGAAAATAAAGAGAAGTTTTGTTAGTGTAAGCAGTGTGAGACATGTTTTACTATTGTAAACAGCCAAAATAAGTCACTCCAAAATCATTCTAAAAATAACACAAGACTTAAAAATTGTTACTTGATACTAGTAATACTGTTGTTTTTGATATTTTTCAAGGTTGAGCTATAATAATAATAATAATATACTAACTGATATCTCCATGTTAAGTTATAGTCCTCGCCACCCTAAGTTGAGGCAGCCCAAGGCAGCACGGCGTATATCTAGTGCGGCCTTTGGCTGCCTCAACTTAGGGTGGCGAGGACTATAGGCCTTATATTTTTTATGTACTAATGTTTTTTTAATAAAAGATTTTAAAAATTTTTGTCTATTTTTTGCCAAGTTTTTTAAACTTGTAAATATTTCTGAACTTAAAAAGTAGTTATTAATTGTTTTTATAACTTTTCATTAAATTTCGTCCCAAAAAAATCCCGTCCCGCGGGAAATAAAAAAATTTCGTCATGTCTCGTCTCGAAGTGAAAAATCTAGTCCCGTCCATCACTAACAATTAGCCTTGTTGTACAGTAGAACCACTCACATTTGGCCACCAAGGGCCGAGCTCCTAGCCGGATAACTATTAGGTCTAATATCTCAACTGAGTAGTGAAACAGTAAAATGAAAACAATGAGATAGTGATATAGCTCAAGTTGCGTAGTGCTTGCATCTATATTTCTGTAAGCTGGGCTGGATATCAGGGGTTCTACTGTAGTAACCAAAAGTTAGGTAAGGGAAAAGTAACACTCTCGTAAAGTATGAATTACATTCTATGACCAGATTTAAATATAGTCTAAAGTGTGAACACCTATTGAAGTCCATTCTGCTAGTCATAGTGGATAAGTAAGGCACACAGCTCAGATTTGAACCAACTTGCTTGGAAACGTTGGGTGCTGGTTTTTGACCCCAATTTACAGACAATCCTTATATCACTAATAATACCATGTTTAAAAAGCCTTGACTTTAAGCCACATACCTAGGGATGGAAATACACTCCAATACAAACAAGTAAACACTGTTTAACAGAATGATTGTTCAATAAACACACACTTACTTGTAGTCAGCAGGTGGTTTAAAGTCCGGGTTGAGCTTGATCATCTTCTGTATGAGCGCATGACGCTCCTCCTCGAGCCGCTTGCGTGTGCGGTACTCACGGGTGTTGAGACGTTTGCCATCGCTGCCGTAGATAGGCTCGGGGGACGGAGACCTCCACACCAACAATACAAACACTCAAACATACATTACAAATGTGCTAACTACAATGCGATGTGTAGTATTTGTGATACTTGAGTGTATTTTTATATTCTCCTTTTTGCATATTACCGATAAAGTTTTTAAGCCCTCTGGTTTTATTCAATTTGTCGATTTTGTTCTGTGTAGGCCTAATTTAGTTTAAAACCACATAAAACTATTTAAGTTAAAACACAACAAGTAATGTGAGTTTAAAATATCTCGAGAACGATAGAATCTAATGAGATAAGAACCAGTATATCTTGTTTAAGTGTAGGATAGGATTCAAAACAAACTTTAAAGATGGACTGAAGCACCAACTGTATTATATTTCATCGTATAGTAAATGTATAGGCCTATAGGCCTACTATGGTAAAAGCAATAGAATTGATTTTAAGTTTGGGTTTTATAATTTTTTATCTTTGACTTTGTATCAAAACACATAACTTTTGGTAACTTAACTAGTGCATTGGCCCTTGGAAGCTACTTTGCTGTGGAGACGGATAAATATTTACAGCCCCAAATGTTCGCCTCAGAATTCTGAAAGCCCAAGAGGAAGCGTTCAAGGTTCTATAGATCATTAACAAGAGTAACAAATCAGATTACTTTTCGGACCTATAAAATATGAAAGGAGAATATTTGATTTAAAATGAAAAGATAAGCTAATAAATGGGCATAAAGACAGTTGGTGAGATGGTGTTAAGTATTACATCATAATGTTAGAGAAAAACTTTGTTTGACTTGAATCCTGTCTCAAAAAGATGGTTAACAATATTATTTAGTGGCGATGAGATGTCCATTTCAAACTAATCCATCCAAAGTAAATAAAAAATAAATATATCTTCTTACTAATTTATTTGTTAAATAATCCTCCAAATATACTTTTATCAAAACAACAATAAACTACTAATAAATAGAACTGTTGGCTCATTATAATTAATTAAAATATCAGAACTTAAATAGGAAAAATTAAATTAGTCTGTTTGTTAATACTTTGTCTATTTGTTGATATAAAATGTAAACTAGGTCGGCTAAACAGCTTTAAATAATAAGAAAGAGGTGCTCTGATAAATTAGAGCCGCACCAAAAAAGGCTGAAAAAGAAAGTGGTTAATTTTTAACAATGCTGGAAAATAAATTATTAGAGTCTGCAAATGAGTTTTCCATTAATCAATAAACCAAAGATTTAGCTGATTGCATCCACAGCTGAAAAAGTTATCACTTGCTGTAATGAAATATATTAGTAATGTAATTCGTAATAACTGACCTGTGAAAATTATTCTGTCATGTTAAATTTATTTACAAGGACTGAAAATGAATTAACAGGTAGCATCAAAAGGCAAAGTTATATCTTCAACCACTTCATCAAATGTAAAAAAAAAGTAATACCTCTTCCAGTTTTTTAAAATTTTTTTTTTATATAGCCTATAAATAATAAATCGAAGCACCTAAATGAACTTAAATTTAACTTTTTTTCAATTTTAGCAGTTTATTTGTTTTGATAATTAATACTAATGCTATCAACGTCAGAAATGGATATAATAGAACATACTTTAACTTAATCAAAATTTTTAAAATTTCTAATCCAAGAAAAAGATTATTTTAAACTAGTAACTGTCCAGAACATGCCGTACCATAAAAAAAAGATTCTCAATAATGATTTTTCACAAGTATATCCATTAATCATATTTGAACCCCATACTAAATATTAACCACAATATAGCTGAGTTTTATGAAATAAACTCAATTTAATTCAAGTTTAACTTATATTGGAAATTGAACTCATATTTGAAGTTAAAGAACGGGAAGGAAGTGTAATATTTTTTAATAAATTTTAACACTTCTTTGAGTAAGAATAATATTTAATCAAACAATTAAAAGAGACATTTGGAGACTGTGACCACTTAAACACCAACAAGTTGAAGGTTTTAAACTCCTTTTTAGCAAATTTCCCTAGAGGGAAGTAGCTATTACCGTAGGTGGCACGGTAAGACCTATGCCCGGGCCAATTTACTTATTCATTTTGATGTCCCCAGAGGCCAAAAACACCATTCGTTCAAATTTTTATAAATGTATTTATATATATATATATATATATATATACACACACACACACACACACACACAAGTCCGTGAACGATAGGTACCTTGAATAATTTTTGTCCGGTTTTGAAGAAATTTGGTTTAAAAGTGTAAGCCGGTATAAAATTGAATGAGTTCGCGAACCAGCATGATCGGACCATGAGAACGGGGTTTTACGGGGTAAAAAATGGGTTTTCTCATTTTGACCCTCAAAATACAAAATTTCCCAATTTTGCTCTAGACCTTTTTAAAGAGCTTAAAAATACAAATAATTTAGTATATCAAAGTGTTTTTTTACGGATATTGGTAACAGAGAAAATTCAAAAAATTGTAAATTTAAAATTCCCATGTAATTCTTATAGGGAATATTGTAAACTGTTGTAATTTGCTTGTTTGTGGATATATTTTGATACAACTTGGCAAATTTATTTATTTTATACTAAGCTATTAATATTAAAAAAAAAAATACACGTTATTAGTTTCCTTGTAGCAGCAAACCTAGGTACTCAATATACCTAATGTTATTTAAAAAGATTTAATTGAAAATCAATTACGACAAATGGAAATTCGCTTAGTCGGCAGGTTTGCTGCAGCAGGGTTTTTTTTACATTTTGACCTCCATTTTGTAGTTTACCATGTACTTCACCAAAGCTGTTAAGTATATTTATCTAGGCCTATGCAAAACTATCTTGATTTTTTAGAATTTACTGAAAAAAAAACTGATTAAAAAAAGGCTCTACTGAAGAGTACAAGTTTTTAATTGAAGTACTCTAACGTATCTTTTGAGTGAGTTTTTTTACATTTATAAACTCCAAATACTGATAGTATCTTTAAACAGTCGTTTTCATTTAGGTTGGAGAAAACAATTATGACCACAAAATAGTTTACAATAATCAATAGCTCTTTGACAAAGGTCTTTCATATTACATTTAGGGGCGGTTTGGGAGCTCGGTATTAGCACTAGTCTACGACTAAAACCGGGATATTTCCGGTATTTAAGCTGCTGCCTAGAAACGGGTTTGTGAGCTCGGAATCAGTTAGGTGCGCGCCTAACTTGGGCAGGGATAATCTTGCGCCTAAATATTGTTGGTTTGGGAGTCTAGTAGACTTGAGACGCCAGCCAGAGAGATAATCTTGGTGGGTTTGGGAAATTAATTTTGGGACTAAGAAATATATTTTCTTCATAAAAATTAGTGAGTTTAGGCTGCAACTTTAGTCCTGCCAAGGGGCAGGTTTAAGTGGACATCATGCAGGTATTACCTCGTTAGCATGTTTATTGTTTACATATTAACTAAAGGAATGTTATATTGGAATTCGTTATTAAATTCAAAACAATTTCATTACTCTAAGTATATTTAGGTGTCCGATGTTCAAAATAAAACAAAGATTGCCTAGTACGCTAATTATTTTTGGCCCCAAATATGGGCTTTAACAGGAATTTTTTCAACTAGGAGTTTGGTTATAAACGTCATCCATACCTTAATTATAAATATTTTATCAGCTACAAAAAAATTAGCAAATGAATACGTTACCCCACACCCACCCCTCCTCCCTTTGAAAGAGTGAAGAGATAGTAAACAAAACATTAAAAAAAACTGCACAGAAGCGCTGTACAGTCATTATTAATCGTTTCCATTTTCCTCTAGTTGCTGAGTGTGACTGAGCTGAGTGTAGTGTCATTGGCGGCGGCTAGTGACATCAACATGGAGTACCTCTATTATTTGGAGTACAAGAAAATATACATATTTATCAAAAGAATGTCATGTTTAAAATTCAAATAACTGTCAACATTGGTTGTTTTAAAATTATTTTACATTTACCTCGGCTTCACACAATCATTACCTCTGAAATTACGTTAATTACTTTTTATTTCCGTCAATGTCCCTGTATTTTTAAGGGAAATTGCTGACAAGTCTGCAGGTTTGCTGTGGCTAAGGTATTTTATAACTGTTTCCACAAATGTATCTAAAATATAATTTCAGTATTATGTTTTTTTTTTATCAACAACTGTGTGGAATTGTGAAATCAAGTGCATTTGACAGTTGCGCTTGTTTACATTTAAAGGTTATGAGTTTGCTCCTTACTTTGTTGCCATATATACCAATCAATATTTACTTTTCAAACTCTCACCTGTCTCTGAACTTTGAAAGCCCACAGGGCAGAGTCCTTGGACAATACCGAAGCGGGAATTGTTCTATAAGTATTACCGAAGCTGTAGCTTTATTTTTGTCCAATTTCAGCCCAGTTGGTTCAGTGGTTTGTGTTTTCTAATTTAGCTCATGCAAACACACAGACAGACAGACAGACACCACCTCTTCTTTGTAATAGTATTCGGTTCTTCAGTCATTGAGATGTAAAACTCACTACATTTTTGCATTGGTACAACGCAGAAACCTACACCATATAATTAATAGGCTACTAATCATCCATCATTGATATAGCAAGATAGAATTGTATTCATCATAAAAAATTGTTCTTTTATTGTTGTTGTCGACGATCACGTGTTCTGCAATAGCCGTTGCGAGAACCGAAACCTAAATTTTCTGCAATTCCCTGACCATCTAGCCGCGCTACGACTTAGTCCCGATTATACTTGCTCTGCGACCATTACAACATAGGCCCGTCAAACGCTGGGCGCAAACTAGCTGGGCTCGAGCTCCCAAACCGCAATCTAAAAGTTTCTTCTAGCTAATTAACAAAAATTACCAGGGTACCCAGCATTACTTGTAGTGTTTATGTTGTGGGCAGAGTTATTCCAAAATTTAAAATTGTTTATTATTAGTTATAAATGTGTATTTTATTCACTTTTTTCTAGACATAATTCAAATTTCCCAAACGTTGAGTGACCTATGGTTTTTAATCCGACAGGATAAACTGTCTGTAGGAAAGTTATGTTATTTGAAGCTGAAGGAAGACACCAGGATTCGTTGTAGGCCTATACTAAATACCTGTATTATTCATTATTATTAAACGGATTAGAGAAGCGGCAAACCCAGACAAGCATAAGCACCTTTCCTCCGGGTTGGCGGGAATTCCCAGGTCTCCTGTCCGGAGTTTCCGGCTCACTTCTTCAATCTGCAGCTGTACTGTAATAGAGATTGGTTAGAATCGGGGCCGGGGCCCGCTATTAGTTGGCAAACAGTGGCACAAACATACAAACACTAAACTGCAATCTGTAAACCACCTGTATTAACTTTGTTAGTGTTAGATGGATTCTTGTAAACAATATATTGCGCGGTGAACAAATTATTAATTTATAGGAAAGTGCAGATTTTAAAAGTTTTTTTTATGTCAAGACTGAAGTGGCAATACAAACTCATCAACCGGGTATAATTTTTCAAAAGGACTTTACATAAAGTTTTTTCCTTATTAGAATTTCAATGTTACACCAGGTACAATGCAATAAATTAGAGTATAAGCAAATATAAATTTACCTATCGAGAATAGATTAATATTCACATTTGTTTTACTTCAATGATTTATAAGGTTAACTTGCATTCAACATAATTCACAAGATAAATGAACTAAACAGGGTTTTGGTAAAAATATACATATCGAGCATATATGAGGTTAACTTTTGTATTGATTTAAGTTATGTCCATTATATGTAAAACATTAATAATTTTAACAAATAAGGTAGGTATTTAAATCTTTCTTTGCAAAAATGTTTATAGGCCTATATTTTTTTATCTATTTTTTTCAAGAATTCATATAAAAACCTATACTAAACTCTATAAAATTTTAAGTTAAACTTTTAAGTAGACTAGGTAGTTTTCAAATCCTATGATGCTATAAATTCTTATTATTTAATGATTTTGTTTTTATTATATCTTAAGAGATGGTAAATATCTATCCACTGGCAGTAGTACCTATAACAGTAAAACAAAACACAACCATAAGAGTGAAAACAAAAGGCACAAAATGTTAAAAATCATTGTCTTCTCATTTTCTCAAGTTTAATCGGTATCACTTCTTTTAGTATCGCTGCAATGTTAATAACTAGCCTAAGTTACCTAATGCTAATAATTATTTGTTAGAAATTAGGGATGGTCAAGTCTCGAAATTTCGGGAAATTTTCAGGAAATTTTCAATCTCGTTACACGAGACGAGATTACTTTTTGGCCGAGATTTTTATCAAGACGAGAATACAAAAAAAAAAAATTAAAAACGCCTGCAGAAAGTCAATGCAATACCCGCAATACAGGAGCGTGTTGTAGTTGCGTTTCCTTTTCGAAGGCGTTCTTATTTAATTAATTATTTTAATGTAAATATTACTTTAATTCTTTTAATGTAAATATTACTTTCATTATTTTAATAATATTACTTTAATAACATTTGAGAAGTTTAGTTAAGTGTAAGCAGTGTGAGGAATGTTTTATTACTATAAAAAAAGTCAAAACAAGTAACTATTTTATAAAAATTAATATTGCTTTTATTTTATGATTTATTTTATTTTAGGATAAGTTGAACTCTATCCTAACTGATATCACCATGTTTCCTAATCGTAGGCATTTTTAATAAGTTAGGCGTGATTAATAAAAAAATGTTATGCTGATGTTATTTAATGAAAGATTGTAAATATTCTTGCCTATTATCATTATTTTAGTATTTAAACAGTCATCTAACAATGTTACAAAATCAGGTAAAAATTTTGAACGTGCATTTCCCGTTGTGTATGAGAAGAGAAATCTCGTCTCGAAATTTTATGAGAAATAAAAAATCTCGTCTCGTCTCGTCTCGAACTAAAAATCCAATCTCGTCCATCCCTATTAGAAATACATTATGGAACTTAAACGGCAAATAAAGTAGATTGAATATTCTTTCCATTCTGAAACCATTGATGGGGTTTTTGTTAATCTAGTTTCAAACCAATTTTTTTAAAGTTTGATCAAATAATCCTAAAAGGCTAGCCTGTATTGTCTGCTCCTTGAACAATAAAAAGTATCAACAGTAGGGCTACATGAAACAATTTATGGATATTTTTACAAAGTGAAGATTTTTACTAGGTAAACTCAAAATTGAGAAAAAAAAATATTTGCCATAGCTATTCTGTTAATTCTATGTTAAGGCATATTTATTCAAATAAAAACGAGGGAAATTATTGCTTATTCAATCAAGTAAAATCTATATACATATATATATATATATGCATAATTAAATACCTAAGGGCTATTATGGACCCATGCCTTTGAGTTTTTTAAAGTGCTAGGCATTTAAAATAAGCAAGTACCAGTAGGCTATTGTCTAAGTCTCATTTTACAAAAATATTAATTAATAATAGTTTTGGTTATGTATATTTAGTATTCAGTAACCACTATAGTTGTAAAATTGTACTGTCCATTAAGTATAATTTTGTCAAAAAAACTTATGTATAGGCATAAAAAAAGGTCTACTGATATGATGTTGTACTAAACATCATGTTAAAAATTATTCATTTATTTTCATTTAACGTGAAACAGCCGAGGAGCTATCTTGTGATTAAGACCAGCTTAAGATTTGAAACCAGAAAATTACCTAAAATAAACTAGGTCTAAGTATAGTACCAGGATTAAATTATCTAAAAAACTAATAGGTATTCATAAAGTTAAAATAATAAGTGACAGCGACAGATAAACACTCACCGGATAACACTTCCCCACAGAATACGTGTTCTTGTAAAATACCTAGTCCAAAGAATGTTAAGAATTAAATAAATAAATACAAATGCTAATAAACTACTAAACTAAACAAATGTTTGTAATAAAGATGCCAATAAATTCAATAATAAAAAAGGTCTGCAAACTATACTATTAATCATGAGTTATTAGTGACTAAAACAGTTTTAGTTAATTTGTGGAAATTTCAAAAAACATGAAACATGATTACAAGTTAAAGATTTGAAATTGTGTTATCATCGTCAATGTACTTACAGAGATAGGCTTCTTCTTGTTCTTTACTCAAGTTTGTTGGCAGCACTGTTGGCATGCCCAGAATGAATGACTTATCCTTTTCGTCATTATTCCAACGAGACTTGCGTCGTTTTCTTCTTTCTTCTCGCTCAGCTATAAAAATCAAACTGGTGTTTATAATTTGGTATAAAAAGCAAATTTTCAACAGGTAAGTTAAGTTTCGCAAAGTTTTTAATCAGGTAATTAACTACTAAATACATTATATACAAATTGTTTTCTTTTATGTTTTAAGCTAAATTTTATGGTAAACTTAGGTCTAGGTAGTGTTCTAATAATATCTTTACATAAACATGAAATGAAAGTGTTAGGCCTACTGCTGCAATAGGTTAAGTACTATCTCTTTGTTCACATCAGCATGGAAACAGCTTTTTATTTTCATTCATCAGGTTTATGCAGTTTTACTTTTACCTCAGAGTAAATAATGTATTGTAATGTAAGGCAAATGGTAGGTAGGTATATTCAACGGTTGGTGGGTACCGCCATAGACAAAAATAATTGAATATAGACTGTCAGCCGTGCTACGGTTACCATAGGTTCTGGCGCACATTACTGGGAGCGCCATGTAGCTACGGCACACAAGCTATTGAACAATAGCATGGCGCTCCCAGCAGTGTGTGCCAGAACCTATGGTGTCATGGTAACCGCAGCGAGGCTGACAGTCTATATTTAATTCTTTATGTCTATGGTACTGCCAAACGCCAATTTTTGCAAAAAAAATTCCCACCACTGATTAAGTTACTTTGGGTGTTAAGTTATGTCATCTTCGTTGTGACACAGTAAGACTGTGACGCCATCTTGGTTGGTGACATGTCTTCGTTGGAGGGGCGGTAGGAGAAGGAGGAGGAGTTATTGCTGATCTATCGGCAGGGTACTTTCCTTTTAAAGGGAACATTCATTATTATCAACGGTTTTTTTTTTTGATACATAGATATTTTTGTTATCCTTTACGATCCATATACCTACTTCTGTTTTAAATCTTCAAACCCGTTTAAATTACAAATTGACAATGATCTTGTTTAGGCAAAAATAATATATAGGCAGCCCTATGTGGATTAAGAAAAATGAAACTGTTCTAAACTAACCTAAACTAACATAATTAACCAAACTTGCTGTATTATATCAAAATTCTGATAGATAACAGAAAAGGCTTGTGGAGAATATTAAACGGAATTTTGAAATGTTACAGCAAGTTTGGTTAGTTACGTTAGTTTAGTTTGGAACAGTGTCATCTATATATTAATTACGTAAGCCGATTCTTTGCGTCAAAATTGTGGGCGACTGGGAAGTCGTAGAACGACGGGAGAGGGCTTAAATTAAAGGTCTCGATTCCATGACGGCGGGAAAAATAGTGAAATTCCCCAAATGTTAACACAAAAATTAGATACAAGGTTAAACGTTCTCCGTAAGAATAGCATTAGAAGCCATTTACTGCTGATTTTTGTTTACTTCAATACAGCTGATCGTGATTTATCATCAAACCAGTAAGCAATATTACATTTGGATTACTCATTTGCCAGTCAATTCTGAAGTGTACTGTTTACTTTATAAAACCAGGGTTAACGTTACCAATAATAATTTAGACTTTTTAGTTACGTCTTAGAAAGTTCAAATCAATCGTTTTACTGTGCAATTTGCAGACTTGTGTATTTTTTAGTAAATTAGCTAAGCGTATGATATAAGTACAGTAGTAGAATAATAGGAGTTCAAATCAAAGGAATTCAACTTAGAATGGCTGAATAATGATGAAGTTTTCTTCTAATTTGAAGGTTATTGTTGTGTTGAAGGAATGTTTAACATGAAATAACCACATTGACTAAATAATAAATGATTCAAGATTTAAATGGAAAACTTCTACTTTGTTTTGATTTCAAAACATATGTTAAAGATTTATTCTACACCTTTTTTGTAAATTTACTAACATTTATATTTGAGATTAATTGTAGGGTTTTAATCAATATTTTGTTTGAAGTGGAATAACCTGAACGGTCACTAATAAGAGGACAATTTGTGAATAAAGATGAAATAGGTTTGTACAGGTATTTATTCATTAAAAAATAAGTACTATTATATGACGAGTTCCAATGAGCGGAAAAATAATTTTGTTTGGAGAAGATTTTAAGCTTTTCTTTTGCTCCAAGCAAAACATTTTCAAATAATATAGCCTAAGCCTAGCATGCACGGTAGTAAAGGGAGCATCCGTATCTACGTCATGCTCGGAAACGGAAACCTAGAGGTAGTTTCCGTTTCTTAAAACTTACCAAAAATATGCATGTCGAAGATGCTGATAAAAATTAATTTCGTGATTGGCTTCGATAACTGGGTAATGGAATCCTAACCGGTCGCAAAATAGTTAGTAATCAGGCATGGATTAGGCCCTTTTTTGAAAGAATATGTAAATTCATAGGAGGAATACCACAACATAAACTTACACTAGGCTTATTTATTTAGTAGTTTTTTAAATGTTGGTCAGAAACAAATTTAGGGTTAAGTTTGGTCAATGGGATGCCTCTTCTTTATACTAATTTTGTTAAACCTTTATAAAAGGAACTTAAACTTAGAAATAATAACTGGGTCGGGGTGTTAATTTAGTGGTTGAAAATAATGTTGACAAAAGCAAACAAAGACAAACGACAAACTGTTTTTTTTTTTTACACAAAAGATATGTTTTATTATCTATTTATTTTATTATGAGTTATGTATTTTAGTGAGTCGGTGGCTCAGTCGGTAGCGTCGCGGACTTCGGGCCCAGGACAGCGATGTTGTGGGTTCGGATCCTGGTCACTGCCGATAACATTTTATCAGTACAGTTCACCTTTGTACTGTACCGGCTCACTCCTTGCTTTGCTGTAAACGATCCACGCACGGGCGCTTGTAAAGTCTATGTGGACGGGCAAATGCAAGGTTAAAAGAGGCCGCCAACCTCTTTTTTTAAAAAATAAAAAAATGTTGTACTGGTATCTATACATAAACATAGATAATTTGATTCTGAGTTTGTTTAAATATTACAACAATTTGTTTTATATTTGAGCTTTTTAGGGACTTATGTCCCTACAGGCCACTAGTTTTAATATAATTGTTTTTATTGTTTATTTGTTACAATATTTAACTTATTTATTTTAGTTTTCAGCTGATATGTTTCAATTGGTTTATATTGGTATATCGGACCAAAATACTAAATAGGCATTGATGTATCGAAAAAAAAAAAATCATCGATAATAATTAATGTTCCCTTATACAGCAAAGCATCATTGCCAGTTTTATTTTTGAATTTGATTTTATTTGCTGTACAAAATTGAACAAGTTCCTACGTGCGGTGCAAAATTTTCTGCTGCATAACTTAGTCACACTTAATCTAGCCTTTAGATTAAGCCTATTTTACTCTGTTACTTTGTATTATCGACCAATGTAAATATTTAGCCTAATTTGACAATGCCTATCTCAATGTATTTGATCAACGGCAATAAAGATTCTGATTCTGATACAACAACACTGGTTCAATCGAGTTCCATGTGTCCGGTTCCTCTGACGGAAATTACAGTTCCGCACGACGGACAAATCATACTGGTCTGAGAGCCTTGGCAGTCCGGAATCCGACAGCTGAGAGCAGCCATTAATTATTGTGACTGTGCAGTTATTGCAATTGCATCGAGTTAAGCGTTTTGCGGTAAAAAGAGGTGTTGATGAACGTTTTTCATCGACCGAAGCGGAGGAACTTGTCCATTTGGTGTCTAGATAATAAAAATAATTAAAACTCAATACAAATTATTTATATAGGCCTAAGTTATAAAGTAACTTAAATATTTAGGCTATAATTTAGAATCTTTTTTTATAAAAAAGATTTCTATAACTCAACCATTAGGCCTATTGATAAAATTTCATGTTCACACTAAGTAGGACAATGTGATGTAGGTTTTACTATTTGTATGTACTTGTGTCTAAGGAATGTCGGCCTTAGTCACTAACAAGACTACAAAATCGCGCCACTCATCCTACACTCATCTCCATTCATACTAGGCTTAAAATACCTACTTTGTATGGTCGCCATTTAATAAGAAAGTATTAAAGTATTAAGGCTTTTTTTATAAATTATAGTTAGGTACTAATTTACTTAACAATTGTTTGGATTAGGCGGTACAACGTAGTAGGCCTACAACTTAGTTATAGGCTATAATAACAATAAGGTCTAGAGTAGGCCTACTGATTAGTTAGGTTGTTATAAGACCTGTTAGGCCTACTCCTACTTATTTTATGTAAACATGAAGTCGAGTAGTAGGCCTACTATTAAGTGATGTAAAATTCCCGGCTATTTAAAATCGAGGAAATATTCCCAGGGAATGTTGCCGGCAATGTTCCCAAAATTTGTAAATTTCTGGGAATTTATGACTAACTAGCAGGTAGGTTTAAAACCTGTTACCGTACTTAATAGGTAAAAGCCGTAATTAACTTTTTAAAAGCCATAATTAACTTTTTAAAATCAACCACAAAATCAGAAATATATTTTAGTACAAACTTTAATTGAAATACATTTTTTGTTAATTGGGAATTTATAATTTTGTAAGCTAAATTGCTCAAATTATTACCGTCACTGTGGTAGTTGTCTGATTAAACAAAACACAAACAATCTTATAATTTTATGTTAAAAAATAGGTAGGTAACTTAGTTGATTTAATTCACAAATCAGAAAATAACCTAGTAAATACCCAGGAAATAAAAAAATGTTATTTAAACAAATTTTTAGTTAATATACCGTATGAAATTAAGATGTATAGGTCTATTAAAAACGAAAAGATTTTATGGGAAATAGAACTTAAATCTTTGCTGTCTGTTTTAGCCTAAGTTAACTTATACATTCGTATTCCACCTGATAATTTTATCCTCATCGTCCATCCCTTCCCAGTCTGTGGAATCATAGCTTAAATTAAAGAAAAATAGGCCCAAGCTTCATTATCATTTTTAAAAATTTAAACACAATGCAATATTGTGGTACCGTAGACTTTTGTATCTGTTGTCAAAAACAGCCGAATGAAAATATTGCTCGATTTATTGATTATTCCATTCGATATATCGAATGAAATAACCTATGTAGAGCCTATAAAGGTATAGAATATTTTTCATTCGGTTGTTTTCAAAAACAGATACGGATGTGTACCCCAATATTACGGTACTTAAACTTAATATCAAACCAAATATGCCTAGGCTAAATATCAACAGTTATCGTTACAGTAGCCTACTCAAATCATCTTTATTCCATAAACACAAATTGTATAGCCTACTGTACCTATTAAAAAGTACAATAGCGTAGGATGCATCAACAATACCCCGATAAGTCAATAACTTATAGCCAAGGTATCGCAGGTTCTCTAGCTGCAGAACTGTATCCTGATTATGACAAGCTTACTGTCATTGTAGACCTATTAATACTTTGTCCCATTAACTTAGCATTTTTTGCAGGCTAACAACAAAAACATCGGGATTGAGATTGAAACGATGTTTGCCCCAAGCCCCAAAAGTGCTTCTAGAACAGCCTTTAGAACTTAGCCAATATCCAGAGGTCAGTGCTTATTGCCTTAGAGGCCTACAGGGACTAGGCCTACATCTTACATATATGTTCTCTTCATTGCAGTCGTAAAGACTGGAGAATCGTCAGTTACTTCTTTTTTAATTTTTAACCTAACCTAACGTAATGGTACTGTTACAATTGGCCTTAGAGATGTATTTGAGACTAAAAAAAACATAATAAGTTAGGTTAGGTTAGGTTAGTCACATAGAAAAGGATTGTCGGAGGAACCACTAGCCATAGCCATAACGGTACCGTCACAACTGGCCTTCCGCGCGTCTCCCGCAAGCCACCGTTATCGCTTGGACTTTGAACCTTCTTATCGCTCGGCAACCTGTACGATGGCCTTGCGGGCCTTGAATTATATGTTTCTTGCTTTCTGAGAACCTCCTTATGACCGTAGTAAAATTTGAAAAAAATTGGGGTTGTTTTACGAAATTAATGGTGTCAAATATGACGTATTGAAAGGTTAGGATTAGGAATTGGTGTTTTATGAAAAGGGGCTTGCATTGTTCAAGGTAACTTAGTGGGATTGGTCTATGATTCTGACTGCTTTCTTTTGAATATTTTTTACATCTTTTAGTTGACTTTCGCTGGCACTTCCCCATGCAATTAAGCATAATTTCAGGTGTGAAGTGAAGATTCCATGGAAAGCCATCTTTAGTTTCTTTGTTGTGATTTCTCTGAGTCTTCTAACCCTCCGAGGGTCACGCGTCGATTTTAAGACGCACAACACACTTTGTGTAGGGTCACGCGTCGAGTTTAAGACGCACAAACATCGTTTACGGCGAAGGCTCTATGACTGACTGAATCGGATTGAACTGGATCGAGTTAGGTATCGTTCTTTCCGTAATATTCTAAGCTTTCTCCAGAGGTCTGTCTCTAAGCGCTATTCATTTTAGTTCCGAAAATATTGTAGCAGACAGCTGACGTGCGTGTATTTGTAAACAGCTATGTTCCCCCGGACCGATGACTGATGTGTTTTATTACGTTTATCATTGTTTTAGTGTTAAAAATCAAAAGTAGTGATATACGTGGTGCATTATAAGAAGATTTAAGTGGTTTTGAAGTGCTGGTTGATGATCCTGAAGAAGTAGGTAGTGATATTGATGTAAATTATCAGCCAGATTCCTAGCTATGGTTAGGCTATGCATTCTTAGCTAAACGCTATGTACTGAAATCCGTTTTTCGCTCATAACTTATTTATTTGATAACTTACCTCGCTATATGATTATATATTTGTAATCCTCATTAAATTTAGAACAAAGTGGCTATTTTCAAATATTTATAGGCCTATAATTTATACAATTTCATTGAGCGCAAACTTATTTTTTTTTTGAAAATTTTCGAAATTATATTTTTTTTTACCTAAAAATTTTTTTTAGAAAAAATGTTCCTTATGTTTTATATATAATATTGAAGCCCATGATTTTCCAAACAAAATGGTATATAGAACATTAGAATTAACATTGTTTTAAGCTTCTCAGATCCGTTTTAATAAAACCTTGCAAAGGGGCCAAAAATAGGTGGACATTAAGGCCTAAACTATGGACACTCGGAGGGCTAAGGGAATATAGATAGCCTAGCTGATGAGAGTTTTCGTTGGAGCCCTTACAAGTGGGGGTGCCAGTTTAGTTGCTGGTAAAGAGTGATGCCGAGGAATTTGGTTGTGGGGTTGGCATTTGTTGTGTGGATGTCTTCTTGAGCTGAGGGACAGAGGGTTTGTTTGTTGGGGGTAAATTTCATGCAGACAGTTTTAGACTCATCGATTAAGGCCATTGCAGATTTTTTGGCTGTGTCTATTGTTTTTTCTTTCTTTTAGAATGGGTGGTGGCATGGCATGTCCGGGACTATAATGGTCGTGTCGTCAGCAAACATTCTTACATGTAAGGTATCTGCCTAAGCAGGTACTAGGTAGCAATAGGGCTACTGTATATTTACTTGACAAATTCGACTTACCTTCACTTTCCCGCTTGTTTGAACTAGATGATTCCGAAGGCATTTTGTTAGATTGAAACAAAAATGGTAGACACAGACACAGAAAGCCTAGGCCTAGTAGTCCACAAGCAGAGTCGATTGACACAACTCGGTGCTAAGAGATAGACATATGAATAATTCGTAAAGACGATTGTAGGCTATTAAAATGATTACTAAACTACTCTAGTCTCGTTCTTGATTCAGTAACAAAAGATATTTAAAAACAAAACCACGACACAATCTAAAGTGAAATAGACGTCCCCTTATTTGTTATAGAAAAGAAAATGGCGTTGAAAAAGGCTGAAGCTGAAGCTGAAGGCTGAAGTAGCAGTACTAGAGTAGAGTAGAGTAGAGTTACTACTGCTGCAGACAGACCATTGGATCAAAAGATCACTATCCATTAATCGAAAACGAAGCTTGGTTCCATCATAGATAAAACATACTCCCTTAGGTTCCATATACCCTAGACTTCACAGACTTTGGACCCAGTTTCCGACAGTCGAAACTGATCATTTCGTTAACGTAGTCGAAGTCATGTTGTTATGTAATTTGTAAAACTTTACAGCAGTAATCAAATTGCCGAGCGAGAATACGAGAATGACAAAAATAGAATCTTCACTCTTTGGCTCGGACTGGTGTTCAATAAAATTTGTTTAAATTTATTTATACATCGATTAAATGAAATAGCAATCAATGGTATATTGGTAGTAGGTACAATGGTACAATCATAGATTAAAACATACCCCTTGTTTTGGGGTCTAAGGTACAATGTTTTCCTGACGTCACGTGATGTATCCTACCATAGATGGAGTATGTTATACAGTATCTATGATCCTACTAAAATGGGCAATGGCCAATGGAGGCGTTCCAATACCAGTCTTCATTGGACCAAGGGTAGTATTTTTGTTGAGAAGTTATCATTCCTGGATTAATTGTATTACCACAGTTTTGAGTTTAGTTTTGTGGTTTTTGCTTCATGGACTGACGCCGTGACATCGGTAATCGATTTGACATTCGATGGATATCGAGGCTTGGGAATCAAAAGCTTCCTTACTGGGAAATGAGAAATGAGTTACCGGTGCCGGTGCTAAATTTTGTGAAACTTAGGACAAGACAAGTAGACAAGGACGCACAAAACAAGAACAGCCTAAAGGAAGGAAGCGAAACCCAGCATGGAGCAAGCGCAGAAATTGTTTACCGAAAGCTGGAAGTACAACCATGAAGCTTCAGTGTTAGCCAACTTGTGGTGGGTCGGTGGGTCGCCGGAATTTTATCCCCCTGGAATTTTACCCCCTGGGCAAAGCTGACGTCACTATATGACGTAGTAACCTGAGCGCTCAAAAATTTGTTCGCGGTCTAATGAAAATAGACAGAGCGTGATTAACTAGATTAACAATAAAAACCGGAATTTTACCCCCTAGCTGTCAATACAACTAGCGTTTAGACGAATGAAGATGTACAGGCCGGATTTTTACCCCGGAATTTTACCCCCCCCCCCCCAAAAATTTACCCCTGGCCGGATATAGAATATGAATGATTGATTTTCTTTTTTCTATTTGTATTTAATTGTAGACATTTTATTATTAGGCCTAAGTGGCCTATCTTTATTTATTTATTTTGTAATCTCAAAAAAGTAAACAGAATACGCTGTTTAATTTTTATTATATTAACCAACAGTTGGCTTCAATTATCGAATCCTGATACTCGAATCTCAAAATTAAAATTAATAACCTGTTCGATTAGTTGATGTTACAAATAAATTAAGATAGGCTAATTTACAATAAAATGTTTACTATTAAATTAAAACTAAATGAAGAGAATTAACCTTTCTCACTAATTTATATCTTGTCAGGGGGTAAAATTCCGGGGGTAAAATTCTGGGCCGTACATTTTGAGCTGACCTCATGAAGGGGGTAAATGTCCGGGGGTAAAATTCCGGCCCGTACACTCTAGGGTTTTATAATTTGGTGTGTTCTGATTAAATTCACAATCGTGAAAATATACGTTTAATTCCGCGTTTAATCCACCGAACTGATGTCGCGAAACTCAAAAGTTCGCGGCCGGAATTTTACCCCCTGGCCCCCTGGTTTGTGACGTCACGTTTGCTCAGGGGTTAAAATTCCAGGAGGATAAAAATCCGCTACCCCCTTGTGGTAACTTGATAGCAATTTTTCATCGACCAAGGATTTTGGTAACCGGCAATCTTAAGCTTGTAGAGGAGCAACGTAAATTTCATATAGTGCGGTATTTGTTATTTTTTTTACAATTATTATCAAGTTACGATTTTCCATTTCCAAATCATCGCAGATCGAGGAATGAAATATCGCAGATAAGCTTATTCCCTCTTATTTGCTCATTTTTATAACATTTACTCAATTTTATGAAATTGATTAACCCATCATACTTGTAGAATCAATCTCGATATGTTGCACGCAGTTTTCTTGGCTTATTTTGTACCGCACGATTTTTATAACGGTGTGATTAAACCCAAATTAAAACGGTCATCACAGTTGAATTTGAAGACAGCAAAAGAGTGATAGCAATGCTTGTAGAATACCGCAAACTGTGCTTAACCCAAAAAGGAAAAAGTAACCACGAAACACAATAGATAATTAGATTATACAATAGGCTAATTGGCATAATTGTTTACTGTCGTCAATCGACATTGGTGTCGCGGTCGGGCGAGAACGTACGAAGATCAGAGGATCCCATGAAGACGCCACACGAGTTGACGAAATGTACACATACTGATGATATCCAAACTACTAGCTCAAGAACGCACGCAACAAAAATTTAATAACTAACGATACAATTCAAGTTCTAAAACAGGGATAACACAAAAATATCTGTGTGTACACAGTTACAGGTAACGGCATCACTCCATTCGACACCAAAGAGCAGCGTAATACCATAATGTTTTATTTTTAAGGATCCAAAACAAATGTTCTTTTCTATGAATATTTTATGTGAAAATAAGCCCGCGTTAAAACAAGAAGTTCATAAATTTTCTACCGGACATTATTTTGTTGTATGCAAAGACGTAGTATTATACAGTATATTGCTATCCACTTATTCATAAAAAAACCTATTGGCCATACGTATTTAAATGTACAAAAATATAATTTCAATTTAAATATTGTTTTTGTTTTCAAATCTGTATTTTTTTCAATCTTTTAATATATAAATTTAAATTCAAATTAAAAATACGCGAATTAATGAGCAGGTGTCACCTGTCTGTCATCATCTTATGAAACGTCTGGCGTTAGATAACACTACTTGCAACTAAAATGGAATGTCCATTGAAATAAAATAAAATAAACGTTGCCAATTCTATCCATCGATGTATGTATGTATGTATAAATCGATGTATGTGTATACTCCCTGATGCTACCAGGCCGCGGCCTAGGTGGCTGTGGTAGCTAAGGGGTTATCGCGCTCGCATTACGTCAAAAAGGTTGCCGGTTCGATCCTAAACAAACAAGAAACCTTTTGATGATACAAAACTCCATCCAGATGATTTAATCCATTGTCGTGGTGAAAACAGCTGATCTTAAGTGGTAGAATGCTACACAGATCGTTTAACTAAACTCCACACTTTAATCGCTTTCTCTCACATTCACATACGTTTAGTAAATTCCGTGGTAAATTCGCACGGAGGTGGTTTCGCCACCACAAGAATTGTAAACAATACGTCGCTTCAAACATGCAGACTAAGAAAACTTCCATTTGCCTAACTGGATTACACTCTTCTACACTCATCTCCATTCATACTTGGCTTAAAATACCTACTTTGTATGGTCGCCATTTGATAAGAAAGTATTAAAGTATAAAGTATAAATAACAATACATTGAATTAGTTAGGTTCGCTGCTGTGGGGGTGGAAAATGCATTTTTGATCGCTTGTTAAAATTGTAGGATGTCGGCGAAATAAATAAATTGGAAAAGAATCAAAATACGTCTCTAAACAAGCAAACTACAACAGGTTACTTATTCTCCATAGGAATAACAGGGCGATTTTCAATGTTTATTATTTTTAATAATAAACATTGTCGATTTTTCGATTTTTTTTGTTGTCGATTTTTTTCCCCGATCCCGTAACCTCTAATTATCGACCTTAATTATTAAGCCTCCTAAATACGAAATTGTCTGTTTAAACTCTACATTGTGGCTGTAATACAAACTGTGCTATTCCATGTTTTAGGAGAAAAAATTTGAAAAATAGGTACATTTTTAAACAAATTTAAACCCCTATATAACTTTGTTTTCATTATCTAGCTCACGATCTAGCTGGTTCACAAACCTAATCAAGTATATTTAGCACTACACATTCACGCAAAATGTCTTCAAAATTGGACCTAAATTACTCGAGTTATCGGGGTAGCTATATATGTGTGTATATTATGTATACACATATACTGAACAATTTTGAATGAAAAGTGTTCTGTTAAAATCCCTTTGGGGAGATGAAAATTTAAGAGTAAATCGGTCCCAAGTCTAATTCTTTCAGTGCCTCCTTGGTAAAGGCTTCTTCCCTGTAGGAAAATTCGCTACAACGAAATTCACTTGGCAACAGTCCAAATGAAAAAGAAAACCCGGCCGGAATTACCCTTTAACGATATATGAGAGCGAAAATACAATAGTCCTTAATTAAACCTAAAGTTCGAAATAGGATTAAGTTTGAAAAGTGACAATTTGGAGCCGTTCGCGAGCCGGATCCCGAAGACCTCGCAACCATCCAAGGACGTCCACTGTCTTTCACTTCTTCCTTTTATGTCTCAAATACGAAAATGTTACTCTAGATCAAGCTAGAATAAAACTGGGATATGAACTGAAGTGTTCGAGTACATACTATTTAAGGTGTAATTATAAGCTTGCCTGTTCAAACCTGAGTAAAGGTGGAAACCTTTTGCTGATTTAAAACAGGACACAGCTGTGTTTTGCTTTTAATAAATGGTCCTGGCGAATCAGCTGATCTTAGTTAGAAATGCATCTATTACAGTCTATTAGTGCCTAATTTATTCAACTCTCACTCATATCTAAATATAATTTGAGGCTATAAAGCTAAGGTAATCTTATCCGCGTTGCCCGCTCGTTTCACAGTGTGTAATGGGAGAGAAAAATATGAGCCTAGTTCTAAAACTGTTAAAAACAAATGTTTGGGTGCTCCACCATAAAATCGAAATATAAGTCTTGCTAATTTTTAAAAATTTGCTTTGGTTTAATCATATAATTTGTGGGACGGAATAAAATGAACCAACTTAGTATTAGAAAGAGCAACTTGAAAAAATATACCTAAATA